ATTCGGTGGTGTTTGGGAGACCCGGCCCGATCGCCGATTTACCAGGTTCGGTGGGGCTGACCTGCGACTCCCGGCACCGAAAATTCTCATCCTTCGAGGGGAGCCGATGTGGGTAAGTGGCCATTTTACTTCGCGACTGCCTTGGTGATTGATTGTGGATTGATTAGGAATTGGCTGGGTGAATTTCCCTTTGTCAGGACGCGCCTTCTCTTCCCTTTTATTCGATAATTTCCCTCTTCTCCCTTTCATAGTACTACCCGCTTACTTACCTTTCTTGATGATTCCCTTTGCCGACTTGTATCTTGAGGTTGGGTATGAATTATATAATTGTCCTTAGTATATACTGTTTTGTGGGCATCGAACGCCTGGCAGAGCAGCTAAGTTGTGAGGTGGTGTGGGCGAAAATGTAGAAACCCAGAGCTCAGGTGTAAGTGGTTCCGACTCAGACAGGGGTGTTCCTGGAACACCACATACAGAGGGTGACCACTCCGACTCAGAGTGTGGTGTTCCTGGAACACCGCATGTGAGCGAGTCACTACTCGGACTCAGAGAGTGGTGTTCCTGGAACACCGCATGTGAGCGAGTCACACTCGGACTGAGAGAGTGGTGTTCCTGGAACACCGCATACAGAGGGTGGCTACCACTCGGACTCAGAGAGTGGTGTTCCTGGAACACCGCATGCGAGCGAGTCACACTCGGACTGAGGGAGTGGTGTTCCTGGAACACCGCATACAGAGGGTGGCTACCACTCGGACTCAGAGAGTGGTGTTCCTGGAACACCGCATGCGAGCGAGTCACACTGGGACTGAGAGAGTGGTGTTCCTGGAACACCGCATACAGAGGGTGGCTACCACTCGGACTCAGAGAGTGGTGTTCCTGGAACACCGCATGTGAGCGAGTCACTACTCGGACTCAGAGTGTGGTGTTCCTGGAACACCGCATACAGAGGGTGGCTACCACTCGGACTCAGAGAGTGGTGTTCCTGGAACACCGCATGTGAGCGACTCAGAGAGTGGTGTTCCTGGAACACCGCATGCGAGCGAGTCACACTCGGACTGAGGGAGTGGTGTTCCTGGAACACCGCATACAGAGGGTGGCTACCACTCGGACTCAGAGAGTGGTGTTCCTGGAACACGCGCATGTGAGTGAGTCACACTCGGACTGAGAGAGTGTGTGTTCCTGGAACCACCACATACAGAGGGTGGCTACCACTCGGACTCAGAGTATGGTTCCGACTCAGAGAGTGGTGTGCCTGGAACACCGCATGTGAGCGAGTCACACTCGGACTGAGAGAGTGGTGTTCCTGGAACACCACATACAGAGGGTGACCACTCCGACTCAGAGAGTGGTGTTCCTGGAACACCGCGTGCGAGCGAGTCACACTGGGACTGAGAGAGTGGTGTTCCTGGAACACCGCATACAGAGGGTGGCTACCACTCAGACTCAGAGAGTGGTGTTCCTGGAACACCGCATGTGAGCGAGTCACTACTCGGACTCAGAGTGTGGTGTTCCTGGAACACCGCATACAGAGGGTGGCTACCACTCGGACTCAGAGAGTGGTGTTCCTGGAACACCGCATGCGAGCGAGTCACACTCGGACTGAGGGAGTGGTGTTCCTGGAACACCGCATACAGTGGCTACCACTCGGACTCAGAGAGTGGTGTTCCTGGAACACCGCATGTGAGCGAGTCACTACTCGGACTCAGAGTGTGGTGTTCCTGGAACACCGCATACAGAGGGTGGCTACCACTCGGACTCAGAGAGTGGTGTTCCTGGAACACCGCATGTGAGCGACTCAGAGAGTGGTGTTCCTGGAACACCGCATGCGAGCGAGTCACACTCGGACTGAGGGAGTGGTGTTCCTGGAACACCGCATACAGAGGGTGGCTACCACTCGGACTCAGAGAGTGGTGTTCCTGGAACACCGCATGCGAGCGAGTCACACTCGGACTGAGGGAGTGGTGTTCCTGGAACACCGCATACAGAGGGTGGCTACCACTCGGACTCAGAGAGTGGGTGTTCCTGGAACACCGCATGCGAGCGAGTCACACTGGGACTGAGAGAGTGGTGTTCCTGGAACACCGCATGCGAGCGAGTCACACTCGGACTGAGGGAGTGGTGTTCCTGGAACACCGCATGTGAGCGAGTCACTACTCGGACTCAGAGTGTGGTGTTCCTGGAACACCGCATACAGAGGGTGGCTACCACTCGGACTCAGAGAGTGGTGTTCCTGGAACACCGCATGTGAGCGACTCAGAGAGTGGTGTTCCTGGAACACCGCATGTGAGCGACTCAGAGAGTGGTGTTCCTGGAACACCGCATGTGAGCGAGTCACACTCGGACTGAGAGAGTGGTGTTCCTGGAACACCACATACAGAGGGTGACCACTCCGACTCAGAGTATGGTTCCGACTCAGAGTGTGGTGTTCCTGGAACACCGCATACAGAGGGTGGCTACCACTTGGACTCAGAGAGTGGTGTTCCTGGAACACCGCATGTGAGCGAGTCACTACTCGGACTCAGAGAGTGGTGTTCCTGGAACACCGCATGTGAGCGAGTCACACTCGGACTGAGAGAGTGGTGTTCCTGGACTCAGAGAGTGGTGTTCCTGGAACACCGCATGTGAGCGAGTCACTACTCGGACTCAGAGAGTGGTGTTCCTGGAACACTGCATGTGAGGGAGTCACACTTGGACTGAGAGAGTGGTGTTCCTGGAACACCACATACAGAGGGTGGCTACCACTGGGACTCAGAGAGTGGTGTTCCTGGAACACCCCATGTGAGCGAGTCACTACTCGGACTCAGAGAGTGGTGTTCCTGGAACACCGCATGTGAGCGAGTCACACTCGGACTGAGAGAGTGGTGTTCCTGGAACACCACATACAGAGGGTGACCACTCCGACTCAGAGTATGGTTCCGACTCAGAGAGAGTCACACCCGGACTGAGGGAGTGGTGTTCCTGGAACACCGCATGTGAGCGAGTCACACTCGGACTGAGAGAGTGGTGTTCCTGGAACACCACATACAGAGGGTGGCTACCACTCGGACTCAGAGTATGGTTCCGACTCAGAGAGTGGTGTTCCTGGAACACCGCATGTGAGCGAGTCACACTCGGACTGAGAGAGTGGTGTTCCTGGAACACCACATACAGAGGGTGACCACTCCGACTCAGAGAGTGGTGTTCCTGGAACACCGCATGCGAGTGAGTCACACTCGGACTGAGAGAGTGGTGTTCCTGGAACACCACATACAGAGGGTGACCACTCCGACTCAGAGTATGGTTCCGACTCAGAGAGTGGTGTTCCTGGAACACCGCATGTGAGCGAGTCACACTCGGACTGAGAGAGTGGTGTTCCTGGAACACCACATACAGAGGGTGACCACTCCGACTCAGAGAGTGGTGTTCCTGGAACACCGCATGCGAGTGAGTCACACTCGGACTGAGAGAGTGGTGTTCCTGGAACACCACATACAGAGGGTGGCTACCACTCGGACTCAGAGAGTGGTGTTCCTGGAACACCGCATGTGAGCGAGTCACACTCGGACTGAGAGAGTGGTGTTCCAGGAACACCACATGTGAGCCAGTCACACTCGGACTGAGAGAGTGGTGTTCCCGGAACACCACATACAGAGGGTGACCACTCCGACTCAGAGAGTGGTGTTCCTGGAACACCGCATGCGAGCGAGTCACACTCGGACTGAGAGAGTGGTGTTCCTGGAACACCACATACAGAGGGTGACCAGAGAGTGGTGTTCCTGGAACACCGCATACAGAGGGTGGCTACCACTCGGACTCAGAGAGTGGTGTTCCTGGAACACCGCATGCGAGCGAGTCACACTCGGACTGAGAGAGTGGTGTTCCTGGAACACCACATACAGAGGGTGACCAGAGAGTGGTGTTCCTGGAACACCGCATACAGAGGGTGGCCATCACTCCGACTCAGTGAGAGTGGTGTTCCTGGAACACCGCATACAGAGGGTGGCGACTACCAGACTCAGAGAGTGGTGTTCCCGGAACATCAGAGCAACAGCGGCTCACCACCTCATCTCAGAGACTTGAGCAGGATGCGCCCAGGGTCCCCCATACTCTCCCCTGACCCTTTCCCCCAGGGTCAGTCCCCAGGGTCCCCCATATTCTCCTCTGACCCTGTCCCCCAGGGTCAGTCCCCAGGGTCAACCATATTCTCTCCCTGACCCTGCCCCCCACAGGGTCCCCCATATTCCCCTCTGACCCTCTCCCCCAGGGTCAGTCCCCAGGGTCACCCATATTCTCCCCTGACCCTGCCCCCAGGGTCAGTCCAATATGACCCCAGGGTCAGACCGACCCTACTCCATTTTTTCTCTCTCTATAACCCTAACCCTAACGATGAACGGACGACGGACGATGGGACGGACGATGGCGGACGACGGACGACGGACGATGGGACGGACTAAGGGACGGACGATGGGACGGACTAAGGGACGGACGACGGACGATTTAGTGATGGCGGACGACGGACGACGGACGACGGACGATGGACGATGGACGGACGACGACGGACGATGGACGATGGACGGACGATGGCGGACGACGGACCCCGGACGACGGACGATGAACGGACGACGGACGATGGCGGACGACGGACGATGGACGATGGACGGACGATGGCGGACGACGGACCCCGGACGACGGACGATGAACGGACGACGGACGATGGCGGACGACGGACGATGAACGGACGACGGACGATGGCGGACGACGGACGACGAACGATGAACGGACGACGGACGATGGACGGACGATTTAGTGTACGATTTACCGAAAAATTCGTTTTTTTTTGGTACGACGGGACGATGAACGGACGATGACGTCATTTTCCCATGGCGGACGACGGACGACGTCGTCCGTAAACATGGCCATGTTTTTCGGAACATAATATTAGGCTTTTTCACTCCTTTCGGTTTTGTGACAAAGATCGGGCCATATCTCGATCATTTGTTGGCCAAATCGAGCCAAACAACGACGAAAATGATGGCATCAAACACCCGGTGATTTTCACAAAATTTTTTTTTCGCCTCTCTGGGTTTTTTTCTTATCTTATCTTATCTAATCTTATCTTATCTCGTCGGATCGCGCCGAAGCGAAATTCAACCTGCCAGCTCATCCTTTTGCTTCTTGCCCTTCAACCACCACCATCCCCTCCCCTGCTCCTCTCTGGTCCCCATTTCCGAGTGCCTCTGGCTCGGAATATGTAGTATATGCTGTAGATTAGTTTAGTCTTAGTTGTTCTCTTTATTTTTCATGTTTTTCTTTTTCTTTTTCTTTTTTTAGCTGATGATGTGGCACTTTTTCGGCGCTTTTTTGCGCTTTTTTTTCCTTTTTTCTTGGCCTCCACCCACCTCCACTTCCAGTTGGGGTACCAGCAGATGATGGGTCGTGCTCCCATCATCTGTGTCGCTCGGCTTGTGCAGTCGAGGGGCAGGTGCCTTCATTCGGAAGTGTGGTCGGGTTTGGTCAGGTGACCTTCGGGCTGCCTCCTGCCCCGACGTTCTGCCCCAGTGCTGGGGCTCGAGCGCGGGTGGGAGTTGCATATCCCGATTAAAGCCTCGGCCGCTTTTTTGAAACATTTTCTGTTTCTTTTTCTTTTTTCTGGGCCCGCTAGGGGCCATGGATCCTGCCCCGACGTTCTGCCCCAGTGCGGGGGCTCGAGCGCGGGTAGGCATCCGGCCATCCTGCCCCGACGTTCTGCCCCAGTGCTGGGGCTCGAGCGCGGGCAGGCACTCTGGCGAGCCCAGAATGCTTTAATTTGCACATTTCGTATTTACTTTATTTTGCATTCGCCTAGTCGGTAGGTAGTCGACAATAAATTTGATTGTGAATTTTGTGGGTGCCAACCGACTGAGGATGTGAGGTGACATAAAGATTCCGAATGGTAGGTATATAGTGCACATATATTGCAAGATATTATATGGTCTAATGGCCCAGTTGGTTTATTGCTCGCGCGATGGCCAAGAGGTCGCAGGTTCGATTCCGAGTGGTGTCGTCAGTTTTTGGTGGTGGCTGTGTCTGATCCGCGAGCGATATTGTCCCGAGTTGAAAGAATATCGCTCGCGCATCAGTGGCTGTGGCCAAGAGCAGGCGATATTCCTCCAGTCCGAGGGAATATCGACAGGTTGCCAAGAGCAATCGATATTCTGTCGAACTGGAGGAATATCGAGTGGGTGTTAGTATATCTATAGTCTACAGCTACATGTATTAGATAGAATGAAATGAAAGCTACTTGTATACAACAACTAAACAAGTGTGAAGTGAACGATATTGTGGCGAAGCAGAGGAATATCGGGTGAGACCTAGGAGGCGATATTCCTAGGAAGTGGAGGAATATCGACCGAGTGCCCAAGAGAGTCAATATAGTGGCGAACTGGGAGAATATCGAGTGGGGTCGAGGGGCGATATTCCTAGGAAGTGGAGGAATATCGAGTGGGTGGGTCTGGCCGATATTCCTAAGAAGTGGAGGAATATCGACCGAGTGCCAAGAGAGTCGATATAGTGGCGAACTGGGAGAATATCGGGTGGGTTCGAGGGTCGATATTCCCCAGAGGTGAGGGAATATCGAGCGGGGTCGAGAGGCGATATTCCCGAGAAGTGGAGGAATATCGAGTGGGTCGGGTCGATATTCCCGAGAAGCGGAGGAATATCGAGGGCGACCCAAAGGGGCCGAAACCCGTATAAGTGGCCTCCGAGCGGAAGCGGGCCCGTTATACGGGTGCCGTGTTATCCGGACAGACAGTTAGGGTACCACAAGGTATCCTCATCGTGCTCTAGTGGTACTATGGTGGTACGATGGTACAAGGGAGGGAAGGTGGGGGGAAGGAGGCAAATGGTTTCAATAGTAGGTTCAAATTGGAAACCACAGACGACGGACGACGGACGATGGCGGACGACGGACGACGGACGATGAACGGACGATGGCGGACGATGGGACGGACGACGGACGATGACGGACGACGGACGACGGCGGACGACGGACGACGGACGATGAACGGACGATGGCGGATGACGGACGATGAACGGACGATGGACGGACCATTTAGTGTACGATTTACCGAAAAATTCGTTTTTTTTTGGTACGACGGGACGATGAACGGACGATGACGTCATTTTCCCACGGCGGACGGCGGACGACGTCGTCCGTAAACATGGCCATGTTTTTTGGAACATAATATTAGGCCATTTTAGCTTAAAAATCCTAACCCAAGGCCCTTTTGGGTTAAAAATCCTAACCCAACGTCATTTTCGGAAAATAAATCCTAACCCAAGGCATATTTGGTTGGGTTAACATTTTTCTGACCGGTTTTCGTGTCAGAAGAATTTTCTGACAAGCAGAGGGGGGTGTATCTGCCCTGCCAAAGTGTATCTGCCACCAGAATAGTGTCAGAAAAAAATGGCAGATACAGTGTATCTGCTACAGGCAAATAGATAGGCTCGTGAAATGAACCTACAGTTCCCGGGTCACTTTAAATCAATATTCCTGCTTCAAATCATTTCCAATTCAAGTTTCCTACTTTAGATAGACGGATAGAGCTTAACGAGCATTCTGTAACATTTACAAGTAAAGTTCGTGACTGTAAGCGGAGTAAACACTTGTGGAATTCCGGGGTAAGGGAAGAGTGGAAAGTAACTTAAGGTAACTTGAAAGGGGAAATGTGCGTGAAGGATCTAATAAATCAGTGTAATGTAAACGTTCGAAAACTTTACAGTACTATTAGATAAGAGGATACTTTAATCTACTTTCTAACGCGCTTTGTACCTCTTTTATCCTCACCCAAACGAGAAACTTCCATCTCTTTGTCCAAAGATCCTACTCTGTCCCTCTTCTGGACTGTTGAAGCTAGGAGTACTCATGTGGTGGTGGTCTGCTGCTCTCCTTTGGTTGGTTTGAAGTTGAGCTTCGTCTGTTCAAGGTTGGTCAACTTCGAAGTCGATGGTACGCTGCTGACGACGCGATAGGTTCCAGTCAATGGAAAACCACGAGGGATAGTGGGGACTGGGGGAGACCCTTCGCTTGAAAAGAGGGCGTTAAGCGCTCGTTTTATCCTCCTCATCTTGTAGATGACCTGCAGAGAAGAGCGGTTAAGAGAAATCGACGAAAGGCAGCTAGCCCTCAAGTGTCCCGCCTCCCGAAATCCCGATGGTCTCAGCCCACATGCAAGCGGAAGCAAATGTGCGGTTTGCCTAATCAGTCTATTGGCGCGTCATAGTACAGCCTACGGTACAGGTAATTATACCTAAACCACTACTGTACATGCAGTTAGCCTGATAAAGGGTTGTGGAATGCGTGTTTGCTCGTACCCTATCCCACTGTTTCAAAGGACCACCCGGGCCCATCCCTTGCCCCAAACGACCCTTGCTACTACGCCAGCTCATCCAACTTTGTATACAGTCGCCCTTTGCCTTTTGAGGTCGAAAATACTGACCCTGTCTGGATGATCGAAGTCGAGCGTCATGGTGGAAGCCAGGAGCCAGGAGAGGTCCTCGCTCGGTGGTTCAGCTTCGGCCTAATATGTAACTTGTCATTCTATATATGGTATGACCACCGTATAAGGACCGAACTCTCACCGGGCTCTCAGCTATCCCTCTACACATACCATAAGTTTTGGTAAGTTCGTACCTCACTTTTTCTGTGTCCCACCAACTTACCATCACTTTACGGTACCTTATGTATGGGCCCAGTAGGGTAAGTTACCTTAAGGGAGCGTAAGTACATTTAATGTACTTTTGGCGGGGCAACTTAGGTAACTTACGGGAGCGTAAAGTACTTTTGCAACCACCCTATCAGCCCAGGAGCGACGCTCGGATTCCTCGACACTTTTGGGGTACAGTAAACGTCGCGCATGCGGTGGAGCACCTGATTTCAATACCTTGTTGACACCCATAGTATTTCACAGAGTCCTCAGTCTACGGGTGTCGTTACTATAGAATGGAACATTCTGGTCGGGTCGCTATCCTTTGCGCTGCCACGGTTAGACCAGATTACATACCTCTCTGGGACTGAGGGTAAGGTTGAAGTTCGAATTTGTTCGACCAGGTTATTCGCATTCGAATGCGACATTAACAAGTGTATTAATACGACATAAAGGGCTCAAATGGCCCAACAACATAAAGAAACGAGAAAAAATCTATATGTACAGGCGAGCGGACATGAATCTAAGAGGAAGGAACAGTGACGAAAATGTACGTATGATATGGGCAGCGAAACGGAGACAAGAATACAAGAAGAGACGAGACGACGGCGAGGGTACGAGTCACGACCACAAGGTAGGGAAGACGACCAGTCAACTACTTCCCAGTCTTCTTCTTCTTCGTACCCTTCGCACTCGCACTCGCCGTTGACGCGTTCCCAGCAGGAGTCGAAGGCCGCGACTCGTCCACAGATTTCGAATCAGCTTTTTGAACTTCCTCGATACCGCGTTTCTGTGCAAGAAGACGAATCAGCATTTGAGTCCCGACGTCGGAAAGGAAATCGTAATCCCAGTCTCGAAAAGAAATCCCAGTCGTCCGAAAACGAAGGGCGTCGCGCAGTAAAAGGAAAAGAGTCACGAAGAAAGGAACGCAACACTTACCTTGCCCTTCGTCCCCTTAACCTTGGCCTCCTCCGCCTTGGCCTGCTCAGCCTCCTTCTCAATCATACTCAACAAGGTGTTACACCTCCTCTGAAGCTCCTGCGGACTCCGACTCTTGAAGAACCAGTCGAACCTGCACGATATCAATCCAGTCAGCCTCTCCCCGGTCCAACGATATAGAGATATAGATGAGGAAAGAGTTCGACGCACCGGAACACAGGGAACTCGTTAATATCCCTCTTAATCCTCTCGTACACGTCGTCGGCTTGCATACCGTAGTGGTGCAATCGGCAGAGGAGGTATCGGTCTTCTTCTTCCGAGTAGACCTTGCCTACAACACCGCACCGCGTTAGCTGGTGGTCCTCAACGACAAGAATAATGTAGACGTACCCTTCGTCGTCGGATAATTCAACTCCAGTTCCTGCATCGGGTACCGCACAGACTTGATCTTGGCGATGAGGAGGTTCTCGAGGTTCTGCCGCTTGGAACGCTTAGCCTCGCCTTCCTTGAGTCGGGCTTCGATACGGGGGTACTCTGTGGGGAGGGCGAGGGGTTAGCGAGTGGTTGAGATAGATGGATGGATGGGTGGGAGGCTCGCTTGCGCGTGACGAGGCGACGAGAACGAAAGAAGAAAAAGGAAGACCAACGCACCAGGCAACGAAGTCCAGTTCTCCTTGAACGCAGCATAGTATCTCTCAACCTCCTCAGGCGTCTTGTCACCAATCTCGTTAGCGTAGACGTCGATATCTTCGTCCCTGTAAACACACGTCAGCGCCAATGTACACGAGATATACCGAAATGAAGGGGATTGGAGGAGGGAGGAGGAAGGGTTCCTCGCCGTTCTCGTCGACCCTCGTCGTCGTCGTCGGCAAACCAGCTGAGCGACGCTCGACCAGGCCCCCAGACACTCGCTCGACAAGCCCCTCCCCATAAAACCACCCTCCCCTCCGAAAGGAACAACCGCACTCACCATCCATACGACTCCAACGCCCTCACAAACTGCTGGAAGTCACGCCGACTCCAATCTGGGAAGCCCTCCGAGATATACTGCTCCTTCTCCGCGAGCTCTTCCTCCGTGAGGGGTTCGGCTGTAGACGAGGCGAGGGGACCGAGTCAATGCGAAAGGGGGATGGCGACGACGATGAGAAAAGGCGACGCGATGATGTAGTACGGGTGACGACGACGATGTAGGACGGGTGACGACGAAGACGACGGCGAATAGCACCACGAACAAAAAAAGAACCAACAAACACCTCATCAGCACCATCCCAAACACAACCCAGCAAAAAAATCGACGCACCAGTATCAATAAACGCCTGCGCAGCCTTCAAATCCTCCTCAATCTTCTCAGGCGTATCATCCGGGAGCGGGTCGCGCGGCGTAGCAGGGATATTGTTCAACCTCTTGTGGACCGCAATCTCCCGCTCTTGAAGCTCAGCCAGACGGGGGTGGAAGAACTGGAAGTCTTGGCTAAAGGACGGAGGACGACCGTTAGTTCAAATTGTTTCGACATGGACAGGGATGCGAAGAAGGAACAGAGAAGGACGAGAAGGACACGTACATCGCAATCTGCTTAGGCGCCTTGGGCATCTTCGGGGCCTTGTCCGTCTTGGACGTCCCAGCGCGGAGCGTATCCTTGAAATACGAATCCACCGAATAGTTGGATTTACGCTCGCGCTTGGACAGAGAGAGGATGTTCAGGTGCAGGGGTTTACGTTGCTAGAGGGAAAAAGAAACGGAACGTCAGCATCTAAATCTTGCTTGACTTGAAACCTCCCGGGAAGGGTAGAGAGACGATGATACGCACCCCACTCCTAAAATCCTCCCCCTCCCACTGCTGCACACTCGCATCACTCTTGAAATTACTCAAGTCTTCGAGGTTGAGCTGTTCGTATTTGGAGTTGAGCTCGGCGGTACGCTCCTCCCCGCGTTGGATGATAGCGTCGATGTCGTCGTCGACGAGCATCCTGTTGGATGAACCGTATGGGGTGGGGCATCGTCACCATTCGATGAACCGTGTTCGAGTCGGATGGGGCGTCGCAATTCGGGTTGGTCGAGGACGCATGGCGAGACGAGATGGATGTCAACAAAAGGGTGACGCGTCGACGAGGAAAGCGCAGTTCGAACGGTTGATAAAAAAGACCGGCAGGTGAACGAGACGGCGACGAGGATCAAACCGACGACCACCACCACCAAACCGATGAGGGCCACACCAACCGAGAGAAGTGAAGTTGAGAGAAGAAATTCGAGATCAAGTCAGCAACCAGTCCTCGACATAAAGAGAAAACCAAAACGCACTGTTCAGACGAATTAATAATCTTATCCGCACCATGCGTGATCATCTCCAACAACTCTTCCTTATTCGCAGCACCTGCCCAAGAGAAAAGAAATTGTCAGCAACACATCCTTCAACATAAAACTCGACAACGCAAGGGCGTGAACTCGACGAGCCTAAACACGAATAGATCGAAAGGGCCACGAACAACCCTAAGTAAACACCACGAGGAAGGCGGAGCCACTCGACGAGTGATCGTATCCACACCGCCGCGCTCACGAAGCCCCTTCCCCACTTTCAACCGCCCACTCCCCTCCCACCCAAAACCCAAAACCCCCAAAACCCCAAACAGAAACGAAACACACTCACTCTTCGCCTGCTGCTGCGCCCTCCCCTGCTGAATGACCAACTGGTCCAACCTAAGCTTCTGCGCAGCCCTCTCAAGCATCCTCTCCTCCACACTCCCCTCCGTAATAAACCGATACACGTAGACTTGCTTCGTTTGACCGATGCGGTGCGCGCGGTCCATCGCTTGGAGGTCGGCTTGAGGGTTCCTGTGCGACGAAGGAAAAAAGGAGGGAAGAAGGGAAAAAAGGAGGGAAGAAGGAAAAAAGGAGGGAAGAAGGGAAGGAGGGGCGGGTAAGCGGGGGGCCCCTAGCGCGACAAGACTGGAAGAAGCGGCGGCTCACCAATCACTATCATAAAGAACAACAATATCCGCCGTAGTAAGATTAATCCCCAATCCTCCAGCACGCGTCGTAAGGAGGAAAATAAACTTGTCGGAACCGGGCTTGTTGTACTCGTCGATGGCGGCGATACGGTCTTCGTGCGCTGTGCCTCCGTCGATGCGGCAGTACTCTGTGGGAGAGAGGAGGTTAGTTTTTTGTTCGAGAAAAAGGGAAGGCGTTCGTCGCTATGGGGAAGGGGAACGATGTCGCGTATGGTTCGACGCCCGCCATAGCTCGGTCATCTCAACGAACGAACGACGAGACCAGGAACAACAACACCAACGACGCAACCCACACCCGCCCAACCACGAAAAGTCGCAGAACAAAACGATACTCACTGTACCCCCTAAACAAACAATAATCCTCCAAAATATCCAACACTCGACTCATCTGACTAAAGATGAGAACGCGGCTGCCCTTCTGGTACATCATCTTGAGGAGTTTGTCGAGGATAACCTGCAAAAGGAAAAAAAACGAGCAAGTTAGCGAAAGAAAACGAGCGAGTTAGCGAAACGTTTGTCTTTCGTGGGCGCGCAATGGCGGCGACGACAACGAGGACCGCGAGGTGGAGGAAAGACGCCCAACCGACAATCCTCCTCCTCCAATATCCTCCAACCCCGAAAGAAAAGAAAAAACAGCACTCACCATCTTCCCCGAATTCTGAATCAAATGCTCATCGGTCGTATACGGCGGACCAGGCTCGGCACCATCAAACAAGTAAGGATGGCACGTAACCTTCCGAAGCTGCATGACGATGTTCATAAGTCGAGTCTTGCCTTCTTTCTTGCCGGTTAGACCTAGAAAAAGACGCTGGTGTTAGTGGGGGCGTTCTCGGGGGAGGGAGTGGGGAGGGTAGACGGGAGGAAGGGGACGACGAGAAAAAACGCACCGTTAACAGCATCAATATCCTTCTCCAACACACTCCGGTACCACTTGCGCTGCATCTCCGACAATCCAACATAAATATTAATCTCCTTCTCTACAAACCAACCATCAGCCTTAACCCTCCCAAAACAAAAGAAAACAAAAAAACGCACTCGGGAGTAAACTCTTCTCCACATCACTCTTCACCCTCCTCAACAAGAACGGTCTGAGGATCTTATGCAGCGCCTCGACCACCTTCTTGCTCTTATCCTCCTCATTCTCCGCTCCACTATCATCCTTGTGCAAAAACGCGTCCAAATCCGCATAATTCACAAAAATCTCCGGGCAAATAAAGTTGAGCAGCGCAAAGAGTTCTTTGAGGTTGTTCTGGAGGGGTGTACCCGTGATGAGGAGTCTCCCGCGCGACATGAACGAGCGAACGATCTGCGAGAGGATAGAATCGACGTTCTTGATCCGGTGCGCCTCGTCAATGACGATATACTCGAAGCTGAACTTCTTCAACGCGCCCTTTTCGATGAGACATATTTCGTATGATGTGATGCACACTTCGAAATCTTGCGGTAGTAGACGCGTGGCGATGATCTCGGCGCGCTCCTCCTTTGAGCCGGTGAGGAGGGCAACGTTGAAGTCGGGCGTCCATTTTTCAAATTCGCGCGCCCAGTTTTGGAGGGTGGACTTGGGGACGACGACGAGGTGCGGTCCGGTGATGCCGCGGACGTGTTTGAGGTACGAGAGGAAGGAGATGGTTTGCAGTGTCTTGCCCAACCCCATCTCGTCAGCGAGGATACCGTTGAGGCCGTTGTGATGTAGCGAGACCATCCAGTTGAGGCCTTGGAGTTGGTACGGGCGCATCGTGCCGTTGATGACTGCAAAGTATTAGCAACGCGAAAACAAAAGAGACGGGGACGACGCACAGCTGGGTGAAGACTCGAATACATACGGCTCGTCGGCCTCCATCTCGCCCTCCTTCAACAACTCTTCGTCCTCCTCCTTTTCGGATTTACGATGACGCGCACCGGGTTCCCTATATTCATCTCGTTAGTGAAATTGACGAAAGGCAGGAGGGTGTGGGACGTACGGCGCCTTCTTGCGACCACGACCTTTGGGTTTGGGCTGAGCGTCCATGATAGCCGCGTATTCAGGGTCTCGGGCGCGCTGCATCGTGGCGTTAGCGGGTGTGGCGGGGCGTGGCGACCAAGTGGACTACGCACCTGCATGTCGACAAAGTGCTTGAACAGTTCGGTTTGGCCCAGGAGGTACGAGTATCGTTTTACAGCGTCGGCGATCTAGAGACCACGCTAAGGAGGAAATAGATAGAGGAGGGAAGGAAGGACGCACCTTGGCTTTGTCCATCTGCTGCCTCTTCGCCTGTAAACCCTCCTCATCCGCCTTCCTCTTCTGCCTCTTCTGCTTCTTGTCTTGTTTCTTGTTCGAAGGTCCCGCGTCCTACCCACCCTCCCTGTTAGTACAAAAACCCATACACCAACCACCGGAGTTTGACGCACCTCATTCTCGCTCTCGAGCTCGTCCTCCTCCATAGGCTCGTCTTCAATCTCGCTCTCGGGTCCTTGACTGGCCTGTACTTCCCTCCCGTTAGACCTCTACAACCGGTAATAGGCGTGATGATACTCGCCTGGCGCGACACGATGTTACTGGGGACGACATCACTCAAGATGTCCTCGTCCATTGGTTGCTCGATCGTGAATTGCTGTTGGTCGTAAACGGGCGGGTTAATTTTCGTGGTATTGACGTCGTATAGGGAGGTTAAAAGTGATCAGCGCGAGACGAGGGAACGAGGAATACGAAGAGGGACGTACGCTCATTTTTTTTAGTGTGTGGTGGTTGGTGGTGGTGGATGAGAGCAGTGTCACGCTTAGAGCGAGCCGCGACCAAACCAATTTGTTTGAATGCTTGGCTTTTTTTTCACACGCTGCTACTTTTGGTGTGGAGCCCCTAAGTACCTCAGCGCTTCGCTTTTTGCGCTTGTGTGTCGACACGTTCGTTGCGCTTCGTTCGGTGTTTTAGAAGCAGGAAATGGGGAGGGAGTCTGGTGGTAGATGCTAGATGAGCGTGGCCGGTTAGGGTCGTGTTGGATTATTGGACGAACGACTTGCCCTGCCTTCGAGTTTCGACACTCGATCCCCAACGACCGACACAAGATCGACTCCACCTGCTATGACTCATCCCTCGTACCGAATGGAATCCTGTAGACTTTCTGCACCACCCTCTTCTTCGTAACACCCTCTTCGATGGCTAACTCCCAGGCCACACGGCGACCTACGAATATAGATATATTTCCGACTCGTCTTTCCTGACTACATTATTTTTAGAATGGATTGATTTGATTGACCAACTCGAACTGGCATGTCGTCTTGTCTCGTCCTCGACTACCGCTGTGCGTATGAACAAGTCTATCGCTGTATGTATGGCCGAAATCTACCTTACGAATCCTCTTCGTACTGTATCTTCACGAGGGGCCTCAGCCTCCCCATATCTCTCTACCATGAAGTATCAGACGTGCGCGCTTTTCGTTGTTACTAACCGTACCAGGCCGTGCGCGTTAAGACTATCCAACACCAGACACACCCACAATAACTTATTAGCTCTTTAATCCGCCCCTCCCACCGTACACCAGCTTTCCCCCGATGGAACAGTCCGCCTTGCAATCCCTCTCTGCTCCCTCACCTCTCGTCACTTGTAAAACACCATCTCGTCGCTCGCTGAACGCTGAATGCTGAACGCCTCGGTTCACTCAGGGCGCCCGTCATCGATTCATCCCTCGTCGAGCACCATCCATCTCCATCCAGTAATCAACCCTCGTCTAACCCTAAGCACCACCTGTCTCCACTCACTACTCATCCCTCATGGAAACAATACTTCTCAGCCTTCGTCGAACATCTAGCAATGTCGGACATCTACCGTCGTCGAGCGGAGCAGATAATCCACCCTCGTCCGACGTCGAACATCTACCCTCTCCGAACGTCTACCATCCTCATCGAACATCTACCGCCATCGTCGAACAATTTTCCTCGGCGAACAGGTGCTACCCTCGTCGTTCAACCAATCCAGCCAAACAAGTACCTGCTCAACCAGCCGTCGCGGAACCGCCGAAAGATGATAATGTCCGCCGCATGCGAGACGCTGTATACCCAAAATTTGAACGAGAACATGGACCCCGGGTCCTGAATGTGTGTTCGGACTTTTACTTAAAGAGTATTGGAGGACGCGGTGGAGCCTGGAGGTAGTGACGAAGACGACACTACGAGCTCGTATTCATCTCTCGCACATCGACATGTATGTACCATATTCGCATTGTAATGTCCACTTTCTGCCCTAACCCTCTCGACACACGACACGCCCCTCAAACACATCAAGATTCAAACTCGACCATACATCGCTCTCGAGCACGACACGTCGGAGGGCAAAAGTCCACACGCCCAAGCTTGCTTCCGTCAACGACCGCCCTCAATTGCACTTACGTTCGCCGTCTGGAGTCTGGAGTCTGAACCCATCCATTTTGTGTCCAAGCTAACTTCCTTGCGTCTACAACCACCACGTCCCTGGTGGGTCGCCACCCCGCATGGGCGTCGACTTGGACAGCTTCAATCGATACACGCAGCACCACCACCCGGCCATGGAGTTAAACTTTCAAGTGAATACGCATATGTCGAGTCTTGACTACATACCGCCAACTGGCCGACGTTCAAAATCGTCGAGGATCGAATGCTGAAAGGGGCGAGCGAGTGAGTGGTCGGTGACCGTGCGGTCTCTCCATGCACAAATCGAACGGGATCCACTCACTCACGCCCTGAGTTTGTCCGATGCCAACCTCGCCTTTCCCGGCAGCTCTTCTCCTCACTGTTTACGATGTACCTTCAATCGATACGGATCCCTCAGCCAATGGAACCAATACCCTCCACGTCACAGCACCGATATCGTCTTTTGCGGACTCCGTGTCATAAATTGAGGATCAGTTTTCGGGTGACATTTTGCGCTTGGGCGTCGACGTTCGTGCATGGGCATTTCGTTGGGTGTGTTGGATAGCGTGGATTGAGGGTTAGATGAGGAATTGGGGTGGTAGATGCTAGAAGAGGGTGGCTGGTTAGGGTTATTGGATGGACGTTGGACGAACGACCTGTTATGCTCGTGAGTTTCGACGCTCGATCCCCAACGGACCGACGCAAGACGGACTCCCCCTGCTATGACTCATTCCTCGTACCGAATCGAATCCCGTAGACTTTCTGTACCACCCTCTTCGTCGTAACACCCTCGTCGATGGATACCCACCTTCCGCGCCGCGCCTGTACAGACCAACATGGGTAAGTTTCCGATTCGTGAGTCGTCGTGCTATATTCAAGTCGCATTTTCGGACTTCACTATTTTTGACAAGTCCGAATTGGCACGCCGGCTCGTCGTCGACTACACTGTATGCATAAACGAAATCAACCGCTCTACCCATCAACGAAAATCTATATTCTACCGTTATACCAATCGACTCCACGAATACCCTTTGTACTGTATCGTCGCTAGGCATCCCCGTACCTCGACCAATCAACACGAGGTGTGGTGCATATTCGTTGTTACTAACCCAGCATCAGGCATGCCCACTACGCCAGGCACATCCACTGGTACTTAGTTAACTCTGTAAATCCGATCCGTCCTAACGTACGCCAGCTCCAACGCGACGGCACCCGCACCTCTCACCACTCGTCGAGTGTCACCTGTCACCTCTCAGAACTCGTCTCTCGTCAAAATCGTCACCTCTCATCCCGCGATGCCTCATCGAGCATCGACTAACAAGTCGACCAGATCAGATATATACATCTTCGAACATCAACCCTACCCTCAGTCCCAGAGAAGTATTTAATCTGGTCTAACCGTGGCAGCGCAAAGGATAGGCGCCCGACCATAATGTTCCATTCTTTTGTAACGACACCCCTAGACTGAGGACTCCGCGAACTACAATGGGTGTCTACAAGGTATTGAAAAATCAGGCGCTCCAATTCTTCTTGAAGGCAAATCAAGCGCTCCAATTTTGGACGCCGACGATCAAATGGCCATTGCCACGAGCAGCTTGAGAGCCTGTACGAGAGCAAGAAGAGTCCGACAGCCAGCGTGAGTTGGCGCTATCTCGGTGGGGGAAAGACTTAAAAACAAACGTACCTCCAACCCGATTTGCGAACATTGCAGTGGGACATGACCCAAGCGACCGCATGCGCGACGTCTCGGCTGTAAAAGTACAAAGGAAAATTGAAATCCGTCACCCATTAGCGATTCAAACTCAATTGAGAGAATAATCAAAGAAAAACATACCAATGCGAAGAAGCAGGGCACTCGGCCCCGATACACCCGCCAATGACATACGAGCTGCCAATGCGACACATGTTAATACCGCCGTAGCCGCCTGTACCCTCAGGGACGCGGCAAGTGGTGGTACCGAGGCTATTGAGGTAGTTGTAGCACGCGTTGGCATCCGCGAGGGGGATGCGGCCATCGTGGCACACAGGATCGTAGCGTCTAACCAGGCCAGATTCTTCAGAGGGGGTGATTGATTCGTATTCTGCTCCTGTTGGAGTAGAAGGGGTATTAGTTGCTGTAGTTAATGAGGTGGGATGGTAAAGGAGAGGGTAAACGCACTAATGGCGGCCAGTGTTTCTTCTGGGATGGGTTTGAGGAGGTCGGCGGTGGTCAGACCGAGCTCTTCCAACGACGGGAGACCTTCTCCAGGCGAAAAGTCCAAGGCGGGCTCAGTGGTCTCGGTTGGGAGGGAGACAGCTCCAGCGAGGAGAGTCGCGGTGGAGAGCAATGAAAAAGTGATTCTGACCATTGTGGATATTTGTGAAGGGTTTGAGAATGGAAGGTGGGAGAGAGAAATAGTAGCTTGCTGGTTGCTGTTTCGTCAATTGCACTTCACCCCTGCTTTTATAGCATTTTAGAGGGATTAGTCAGGGTAGGAAGCCTTTTGTCGGACGGTTCATGCCGTTCTTTCTTTGGATGAATGGGGAAGTTGGACATGGTTTCTGCGCCGAGTGGTCGATCCCCATATATCCCCATTTGATTCCAACAGAGATACTTTGCACGCTGTGTCCGGCCGCCGTAGCCCTTCGGTATCGGCAGTTCACTTGTGTACACCTCAATCCAAACGTCGAATTCAAAGCACCCAAGATTCGTTACCACCTCATGGATAACCCCACTCTCCGCAGACATTTCTACTACAAGAACTGCGAAGCGGAAAGTGTTGCATCGCTCGGCACTCACAATTGGGTTACATAGGGACCAAAGTATCGTTCACTTCGCTGGTTTTATGATTATTCTCGGTGACTTTCGAGGCCGCGAGTGACTGCAATCGGCTGGTTTCACCGTCACGGAGGTATGTCTGTAAAAGTCAACGCCGACTGATCCTGGCGTTGGGCGCTTGCTTACTCCAGCGGTCTTGAGCCGTGCAAGAAACCTGAGAATGATTTCGCCACAAGTAGAGGAGAAAAACGGAGAAACTCTGGTGATCTTTACCAGCCGAGTACATAGGAGAATCGTGATCCATGCTCGAGTGAGATCGGATGCAAACGAGAATAACAGGGTGGCCAGCTGAGGGCGTTTCAATAAATTTGTGTCCATCAGTAGGGTCGTATCGTAGCCTGACCTTCATAGAGTTCGGATTCTAGACCTGAAACCATCACCGTCAACTTGGTAGATCGCATGAATTCCATTCGATTTCGACAGACTGGGTCTTCAAGACTCGTAGTCCGCAGGAACTTCAGAAGAGGTGTAACACGCTGCTTAGCATGAGCGAGAAGGAGGCTGAGCAGGCCGAGGCAGGGGAGACGAAGGTGGAGGGGACGAAGGGGCGAAGTGAGTTGGGTGTTCTTTGTTTCGTCGCTCGTTTCCTTTTTCTTCGTGACCCCCTTTGTTTTCGAACGACTGGAACGAGGACCCAGATGCTGACACGGATTTGTACAGAAACGCGGTATCGAAGAAGTTCAAAAATCTGATTCGAAATCTGTGGATGAGTCGCGGCCTCCGACTCCTGCTGGGAACGCGTCGACGGCGAGTGCGAGTGCGAAGAGTACGAAGAAGAAGAAGACTGGGAAGTAGTTGACTCGTTGTCGCCGTCTTCGCCTGCCCTACGTTGTGACCCCTACACCTGTCTCATAGAAAGCTCCTATTCTCGCCGTCTCGCTTGCCTGGGCATATCACACGTACATTTTCGTCACTGCTCCTTAGATCCGCGTCTGATCGCCTGTACATATAGATTCTTTCTCGCTGTTTCATATTTAAATATACTTTTGCAATGCTGCACGATTGGGATGCGCGATGAGCTGGGAGCTGTCCGATTGTCGAAGTGATTTCGGCGCTTAATGAGGGTGGAAAGTTGAAGGAAAGCTTTGAGATGAATTCCCCCAAGTGCGCGCCATCGACTGCGACTTCGACTCTCTTTTTCGGTGGGTAGTCCGGCCGTTCGCCGTTACTGCCTACCAACAAATTTCTCGGGCGTGTGGCAGATTCAGCGTGAGGGCTGAAATCGATGTCGCCCGACATGCTCCTTCACTTCGCTTCGTTGATCAACTATAACTATATACCTCGACTTCGCCAAAGCGAGATCCAAGTCCTAGTCGTCCGCACAAAGAAGAATCGTTTCGACTTCCTTGGTCGCAAGTTTCAGGAGGCGGTTGGCGCGAATGCGGGATGTTCAGAGTCGTTGTGCTGGTCGTGTATCAAAGTTCAGGAATGGGCAACGGGTTAGGTAAACAAAACTGTAACAGATACCAGTGATAACCGTGTTTAGACACTCAAACGACACAGTGTATCACAATTCGAGTGGTGAAGTACAGGTGCGGTGTTACGGAATTATCGGAACAACGGATCGGAGTAGGCGCCCAATGGACGACGTCTTACAAATCCAATGCAATAAATATTCGGTACGCTGCACATAAATGGGTCAATTCATTGACACAATACTAGGGACCCAGGACATACCTTACTGCCATATTAACCAGCGACGCACGTACAAGTACGGCAGGAAATGGTTCCCTTAAACCCTTCTTCGATGCACGACGAGCCCGCCTTCGCGCAGTACCCTCCTTTAAACCGACATTTGTTGACCTCGCACAATCTTTCCGACGCAGTGTAGACTGTGAGCGACAGTGTGAAGGGTCGAATACGTGACTCGATACTTACGAGGCGAAGATATTACAATGGTAATTGCAAGTTCAATGGAGTTGCTTATGTCAGAGAGAGTGGACTCTTGCTGGAGACAGGTTTGTAAGACTCTTCACGGCTCCACTTCTCGCCACAGTACTCACCTTTAGACAATGAAGGGGACGTTTGCTGACTGACTTGAAAATCGAAACTGGCTTTCGGATTAAATACTCTTCAAGGAACCTGTGGGCGCCTAATTTTTAAACGGATAATTTGGTGCACCACAGCGTCCTGCGAGCTCGTCGGGAGATCCGACGCCACTTGTATGCGCCCTCTTCCCAATCTTTCTTCTTTCACGATGCCGTTTCGGGAGTGGACACGCGCGAATAACTGAGATTTAGACAAATGTAGTTGATGAATCCAACAACTACTCCGTGACAGACTGTCAGCAGTGGGAGCCTCACAGGAAGCCTTCTTTAGCTCTCTTTAGCTCCCCCAACACTGTATCGGGATAGCTTTGCCCTATCTAGATTGTCGGGCCAGGAAAATGTGATAAGGTGTGTTGAAAAAACGCAATGACTTGCGAGAGCTTGGACCAACCTCTCAGGTCAGCCGACCAAGGGCAACAGCCGTAATGCACGCAATGTGGGTGTCATGAGGACGAGGATCATGATTCCCATCCAGCGGCTTCTAGGCTGTGGGTATGTGTGCATAGAGGAGAACGCCCGATCCATTGAGGTCCGCGCGCCGGACCTGGATTCAGTGGGTCGGTCCGCGCGAGGCATCACACGCCTTGTGCATACTTCCTAAATCCAAAAGGAGTATCATCGATGAATAGGTCTGTACTAGTCCTTTCTGCTTCGAGACAGGGATAGGCAACTTCAAATCCTTCCACAAGCCCGAGTTCCACGACATACCCTAGATCGAAGGGCACTTTCGTATGCGTCGGTACGCTGAAACTTAGACACACTTGTCCGTATTTTCGTGTAGTGGGATCAAACACCATTATGCACCCTCCACTCTAGTGGGCGCCTAGACAATTTCCCTTCTTTTGTTAGTGGACGATGGTTGCCCACATGGACTTGAAAACGCTGTGGCGCGTTACATAACATAGTGTCTAGGCTAGTAGGAGATGCCCCTAACAATAAACATTTGCGCGCTCAGTACCTCAGAAATCTCGTTTCGTTCGTTCTCGTGGGTGCTGCGATTGTATAAGCAAGTGTGAATGTGGGTCCCGCAGTGTTCCGTAGTGTTTCTGTTGACACACTTCATTTAAACCGGTGACAGGCGCGTGTCTGATTCGATGGATAGCACTCTACAAGCTGATCGATACAACTTGATACATACTTTACATACTTAAAGCCATCTACATTCACGCTGCAGGATCAGTCTCCGTTACAGGCTCGACCTCATTCCCTCTCATTGATAACAGCGGTGTGTACACAATACCTGGATACTCATTTGATTGTTGAATTCTGTTTTGATGCACAGATTCGATGTCCGAGAACAGGTCGTACCCACGTCTCAGCACCTGGAACGTGGCAGCGAAAACCGCAATCATAGGAGTCCCAGTTGGTCTCGAAGACGTGCCCTGCCTCACGATGATGCTGCGTGTCCTCCACGAGTGCCTTATCCGTGGCATCAAAGTCGTCAGCGCTACATGCAGTGAGGAGGGAGGGCAGCTATACATCGACACCCTCCACGAGGATTGGTACATGTTTAGGGCTTACATTCCCACCGAAGTCGAAGTGAAATTTCCAGATGGTACGAATGAGGATTTAGGACATGAGATCGATGCCTTGGATTCCAGCAGGCACGTGTAACTTTCGTTGATCGTTTTTGATTTTCCGTCACTCATCGAGGTGTAAATTTGTTAATTGTAGTTTCCAACTACAAGGCGACCCCGCTGTGTTCTCTCCCGACGGAGAGCACCTCCCAAAGTGCCCCCCACTCACGATCTACAACCCCGCTGGAAAACGACACGGCGAGGCCGGACAAGTCGTAGTGTCCAACTCTGACGGACGACAGCCTCTCGAGCGGTTCTTCAGAATCCTGCAGCTAGTCGAACGCAAGTACCTACCCAAGCAGACGTTCTTGTCTGCCGCCTATACGCTAGAGAGCTCACAGATCATGGTTTACATTGAGGAGAAGAACTGGGTGGGGCAATTTGCACCGTTTGCTGGGACGGATGTGGTTCAGTCGGGGGTTGGCGTTGGTGTTAGCACTCGTGCTCAGGAGAACTTCAATTTTGTCGAGATTTAGACTTTATTCCCTACATTAACATGACTCTGGGTGTTGACGGTTACCTTCGCCATTCTGGCAACATTCTGGCTCTATTTTGGTTTAAAGTGCGAACAAGATAGAATGTACTTGACGTTATTTCAATTCAAATGTTATGGCGGCTGAATATCTCTGTCCCATTTTCAACGGAATGCTTTCATTCATCGTCGGGGACGTTCAAAAGTACAGACTTCGAAGCGTAGTATCTACTGACGAACCATCATAAAGGTACCCGCGACTGGGTCACCCAGGCCAGTCTGAGCAGCGAAGGAGCTCAAGTTCCAGTTACCAATGAAAGTGGTGGGTGTGACCAAGCGTTGTTGGTTGAAGTTCGGGGACTGTTTGAAGGCCCAGAAGACGTATCTACATTGGATCGACATTTTAGTACCAGTTTACCCAACCTCCGGTTCTACTCGAAAGTTCAGCTGTAGTACAACTCACCGATGAGCAGGATTACCAAACCCAGGCGAAGGCTGGAACCACGCCGTGATGGGTTGGCCAGACGCAACAAGGTTTCCGTCAGGTTGGAGGTTGTAGTTTCCAGCGAGGTAGTGGCGGACATGACCGAATTGTCCACCGTCGGGGTCGACGTTGGCAATCACGTATGGGCCAGGGTCGGTGACGCCAGTGAGCTTGAATGTGGGAGTTTGGGCGGTGGCTGGAAGAGTAGAAAAGGAGAGGAAGGGTCAGAGACGGGGTACAGAGACTAAAGGAGAGATAAGTACCATCTCGAGGAACATTCTGGCCAGAAGAGAACGTAGTTTGCTGACCGTTCCTGGTGAAAGTGGCCTGCAAGAGTCCCACTGGGTTGAATTGGATACCAAAGTCCCGTGGGATCTATAGGGCAACAAACGACTCTGAGTACAAGGAATGAGCATGTCTGGATTGTATAAGAACATACGTTGGCGGTGTTGAAAGCGTTGACGACATCAGCGATGTTGGTGTCCTGTGCGAGGGCGCACGAGGCGATGGAGATCAAAGCGACCAGAGATGGGAACCGCATTTTTTGAATGGAGTTATGAGCTCGAATAGGTCAGTAGTGGAGTACCATTTCCTCCTCTCGACGTTCGACCTTTATACCATTACCGCACCCTCACCGCTTCTTGAAAAAGCTCCAACGGATTTGCCACTACCTTAACTTCTGTTCTCGAGAACTCCGAGTTACATACCATCAAATAGCAATAACAGCAATAGGTTACGGTTATACCCCGGTATGGAGTAATCAGACGATCAGAAGCATGCATCGAAGGCGCATCGAAGGGGCCAAAACGGAACAATTCAATACGATAGCGGTCCGTACCTTGTTTTCTCTACTCTGGAAACCAAAGATTTACCGAGGGAATTTACCAATTTACCCGTCGAAGCGCGAATGAGGATCGCGTGGAGGACACGCGAGAAATGTTTCTGCGGTACCGAAGTGTACATCCGTCCAGTACGAGCACCCTCATACTCTCAAGCTAGCATGTACTAGAGCCCGTAGCTTCTTGGTAAAGCTTGGACCAACTTTCATGAATCTCGAAACGACAATTTGGTTTCCTAACTGGGAACAGACCCGTTGAAGGTTTCTCCTGCTCTTTCGCAGAGATCAACCGTTTAGCCCGAGATCGATAGGTAGTGACCGGAGGTGACTGCTTGTCTCCACCCTACGAATTCAAATGAATTGATAGATCTCGTCCTGATAAATGAAAGAACGCCGTTACCGCCGGTTGAAATATTCTCGCTCCAATTTACTGCTCTCTTCTGAAGCGTACAGCGAGCTTCAGATTGTCCGTAGAGGCCCAGGTGATGATCGGGAAAACCGATAGGTTTCGGAGAATATCATGCATTCCGAGCTGTATAAACATTTATAACAACTGTTGCTCATAGAAAGCTGCAAGAGAAAGGTAAATGTCGGCGAATCCTCCGAGCGTTCAAAAGCGACGCTTCATCTATTTAATTCCGGGTCAGTCAAGTCAAGTGTGGAAGAGTGGATTGGAACCACGTGCATTCCTATGTTTCTATTCTCTAAGTCTGACCCTAAACCTTCGCGCTTGTCTCCCAGAATTAGTGCGGACATCGTCGAGGAGGGGAGGGTCACCATAGCTTTTGCACAACTCACCAAGTCGGCTTTGGTCAGGTTCGAACCAGGGGCTTCGGGGCTTCTCGGGGCTTGGCTGATTGGTCTCGATGCTTTTGCCAAACAGAAAGGCTTTGTCAACTGATATCGGGGTTCACCACAACCGTCAATGACTGGTACACACAATTACTGGCAGCAACATTTGAAACCTATCGGCATCGACTTCTCGTCATGGGTACCGCAACGAATGCTAACCTCCCTGTGGACTCCACACTCGTTTTCTTCTGCGTACCCACCAACGCTATTCGAAACGTAATGAAAATCAGGTTCCTTGGATTCGATTTCCCAAAGTCACCTTCTCCTGTTCTCTGCCGGTGGCTCCACGGCCAAAATCAAACCAGCTGATCTTTATTTATTGGTTCTACACGTCGAACTCGACCCCGTGCTACTTGTCGAAGGTGTCGAGAAAGCGCTTTCGACGTCTTCTTCGACAGCTAGCGTGTGGTCTGAACTTGGCGACTATGCTTAAGAATGCTCATGCCCGCTATCTCACACTTCTCAGCTCTCCGTATGACTCGTAAACTAGCCCTATGTCTTGCGCTCCTCCCGTTCCTCGTAACGGCGCAATCCTCCTCTGAACGAACCCGCTGGATTACCGACCCAGTCGACTTCGTGAACCCATTCATCGGGACGACTAACGTTGGCCATGTCTTTCCAGGTGCTACGATCCCCCATGGAATGGTGAAAGTAGGAATGGACACCGACTCTCCTGGAAACGTCAGTCAGTACCCCGGTTACTGGTTAGCCTTTCGCTGAACCTGTGCTCGTTCGGTACTGCAGCATGCGGGTTACGACAGTAACCCTATCTACAACGTAACCGGCTTCAGTCAGCTTCACGATAGTGGTACTGGAGGGGTATGTGTTCGCTATCTACCGTATTCAGTATCACTAACTCCTTGTCCAGTCGATTCCTCTTTCGAATTTCAAAGTTTGGGCATATCCCAATTGCACGAGTTTCGAGCGGTGCCCTCCTTCACTTGCAAACCGAAAGCTGTTGAGAAAGGTCCGGGAGGATGGTACGTCGTACGTTCCGTATCTGTCTCCTCGTTCTAATCCCACGTTCAACCCAGGTCATGCGGACGACTTCGCATCGCCAGGATACTTCTCAACAAACCTGGTTAGCTCTTAATCCCTTGTACGACGCGCCACACTGATAAGTTTCTCCAGACTAATGGAATGAGGGTAGAACTCACTGCTACTCGAAGAACAGCTCTGCATCGATATACCTTTCCTGCTGGAACGACCCAACCTCGCATTCTGATCGACCTAACGAACGACGGACAAAGAAGCTCCACCGATCCCATTCTCACCTTGGACCCCGATATTGGAAAGGTCGAGGGAGGAGCGTCATTTGCCGCGTCATTCGGACCAGGTTAGAATGTCATATCACCTCCGATTCCTCTCCGCTTATCACGCACTCATCTAGGACGATATAGGGCGTACCTCTGTGTCACCTTCAGAGGATCAGGATATTCGATCGGAAAGCCGACCGAGTATGGAGTGTGGCTCAACAACTTCCCAGTGCGAGGAACAACCGACGTCCAACAAGTGTACTATGGTACGTCCCAACTGTCGAACGCTCGACGAGTCACCTCACATTTCCCTTCAAACAGGGTTCCAGCCCGAGATGGGCGCCTTGTTCACTTTCAATCCATCACCCACTGGTCAAACATCGATCCTCGTACGAGTTGGGGTATCCTTCATCTCAAGCGCTCAAGCGTGCGAGACGGCGGAACACGAAATACCGAACTTTGAATTTGACGAGGTCCATCGAAAATCGAGGAAACAGTGGAACGATGTGTTGTCTCGAGTTCAGGTAAACCCTGAGGGAGTTCCCAGAGAGACTGTGGAGTTGCTATACTCTTCGGTACGCCTGTGCGACAGTAGGCCGCTGATGATACCTTGTTGACGACATATCTAGATCTATCGAACGCATATCTCCCCTGCTGACTGTGAGTTAACTTTGTCTCTATACCGTCATACCCCTAACATTTGTCAGACACTGGAGAGAACCCAAACTGGGAATCCAAGGAACCGTACTACGACTCGCTGTACTGCAACGTACGTCGTCGTCTCAACGGAGTCGCTTCTATGAATTCTGATCCTTCTCAGTGGGACACATACCGCACGCTGTTCCCTCTCATGTCACTGCACGACCCTGTCACCTTCGCTCATATCGTCAGGGGTATGATAGATATCCAAAAGCATGAAGGTATCGACGATAATCCGTACCATCCTTCCGAGCCTAACCGCAATCTCAATAGGATGGTTACCCGAATGTCGAGGAGCAACTGTTCAGCACTACATGCAAGGAGGAAGCAGTATGGAGTCGTTCCTTATCCCTTGTACTCCGATTGCTTACAATCGTCCCCAATACAGACGCCGATCCCATCCTTGGAGAGTTCTATGTCAAGTTCCACGAACAGGCTGCCTCTCTAGGTGTTTCAGCTGTGGATCTCTACGATGCCTTGCTTGCCGACGCTGAGAAACAACCTCCCAACTGGAACCTTCAGGGTCGACAAGTTGAAGTGTGGAAAGAGCTCGGTAAGCCATCGGATTTCATGACCCAAGAAGTACGAATGGATAGTGACGTGCGATAGGGTACATTGCGCAGGACATGTTTTCTCCCGGTGGAGCTAATACTAAGCAGGTGTCGCGGACGCTAGAGGTACGGGACTAGCTTCCCTGTCTGGCTGAAACGACGCTGATAGCGTTCTCAGCATGCCTTCAACGACTTCGCCATTGCTCAAGTCGCAAAGGTACTCGGGAAAGAAGACGAATTCAAGAAGGTGATCCATGTCACGATTCGAATGCCCAATTTCTGACTCGCATTGGGAGCTAGTACCTCAAACGCGCGCAAAACTTCGAGAACGTCTGGAATGCCAACGTTTCTGTTCCGGATGAGCCCAGTATCGTTGGGATGATGCAGGTGAGACACGTCTCCTTTCTCGGTGTGGCGAAAGCGCTGAGTGCGTCGTATCTTAGCCTCGGTTTGCGGATGGAACCTGGAACTACACCGACCCTCGTCACTGCAGCATCCACGATCCTGAGAAGGCAACCTGCTTCCTGAACGCAGTTCGAAGGGATGGCTTCTACGAAGGGTCACCTTTGGTCGTGAGTACTGCTCGACCCAGTGACATTTATTTCTCCACTAAACCTCAAGTTTCTAGTATTCCCAGGTACGTTCCTTAATCAAGTTACGTGTCAGGTCATAACAGGTCGCATCAAGTATGTACCTCAAGACACTGCGAGGCTTATCGAACTCCAAGGTGGAGTCGACACTTTCGTTAAACGGTTGGACTTCATCTTCGCCAACGTAAGTCCCATCCATCTGGTGTAGGCACAAAACGACAGCCCGCTCTTGATCGTAGGACTACTTCGAATCTACAAACGAGCCGTCCCAACAAATGCCGTTCATGTATCACTACGCCGACAAACCTGGGCTGAGTACACAACGATCTCGACAAGTTATAGCCCAGTTCTTCAACACCTCCAGGAATGGCCTTCCAGGAAACGATGGTGAGCTATACCCCTCACTCACGTCGACCAACTCTAATGATGACATGTCTCCTCGGCAGACTCTGGTATACCTAACTGCGCCCATATCCCACTCGCCCGGTTGGTCTTACGTTTTCCGCAGGTGCCATGGGAAGTTACGCCGCCTTTTACCTTTTGGGACTTTACCCCCTTCCAGCGACTCGTCAACTCCTACTCTCATCTCCATTCTTCAAGGAGGTAGCATTCCACAACCCTGTTCTCAAAACGACAACCAAAATTAAAGCCGTCGGATTTAATGGCAATCCCTCTGACGGGACTGGCGGTAACGTCTTCGTCAAGGTACGTCGCATTGCCACAATCCCGTCCTTAAACAAGCTCAACGTTATTTGTGACCTATTTCAGAGCGTAACGATTGATGGCCAACCATGGAAGTCAAGTTGCTACCTCGACTGGGACGCATTTGAGAAGGGGTCAGTTATAGAGCTGACGTTGACTGATGATATCAGCGTCACCTGTGGGACCGGGGACGATGCTTTGCCTCCTTCGATTTCTACTGGAGGATACGATTGATGCAACTGTAACGGACCTTTACTCGTCCCTCGTAAACGCTATATTTCTCCTGTTTCAAGGTCTACCGTCCCCCAATTTCGCAGAACGCCTTCGAATTACTTTGGAAATATGTACCACAAATTCAGAACTCACCCTCATCCAATCCAACGGTGTGCGGCTGTGGCGCGAGGATGGGTCACTAAATACGCGCCTACCTTGATTCTTTCCCTTCATCATTAGCCTCTCCCGAGTTTCAGGCCCACACCGACCATTTCTACTCATTGATTTCCCTCGTGGATACAGAATGAATAGCGCTCTAAGGCACCAATTCAATTGGCACTGGACCTTTCAATTGCTGATCTCTGTAGACGACGATGCGCGAAATGAGGTGCGAGCTCGACGTCCAGTTCCTCGTCTACAGTGCGTGGACGATCGAGTCCAGGCGATAGCATCGACCTTTCTTGTGGCCTGGAATAGACGGCGCTGTCCAACTCCAAAAGATCAGGCTCGCCCTCTGCACAGTTGACCAAGGTCGAAGGATTGAAGGACGGAGAGGCCACTCGCGGGACGGGACAGAGAATGGGATTTCCTCCAGGGCGGGGGATAAGGGAAACCGAACAGAAATTACCGCGCATGAGATCCTGAAGGACCACGGAGACTATCGACAATGAAATTAAGCTCGAACATTCGTAATCGAGCGCTGGAACGTGAGACAAAGCCATCCGTGGATAACTCCAAGCGCCCAGCGTGCGGAGTCGTGTGCTCACATAGTGGGTACCGTTATCCGAGAGGCAAACGACTAGAAAAGGTGAGGGCCTGCCTGTATACCGTCTAAGTCGAGTTAAGGATGTGCTATTACTCCCCTTTCTCGAGCATGCATCAGGCCTTGAGTTTTTCCTCTCTGAAGATTAGCGCTCCGAAAACCACGAGAGTTATCCTTAACTGGAAATCTTAGCCCCTTGGTTACATAGACCTTGCCCACGAGCGGCGTATCAGATGGGAGATTCAGTAGACAGCGGGGATCAGGGTGGCAGGTAAAGCTCTCCAGGTTATGTTAACCAGTAGGCGAGGGATATTGGCACGGTTGTGACGAGCCTCGTCGTCGTTCTATCTCATGGCCGCTCACGAGCATACACCGTAGGTATCAGTTACAGGTTACACTGATTCCAAATTGCAATTGGATCGTCACGGCATCACCCATTGGGAATGTATCTCTTGGTAAGCCGGTAAATTGGGATAGCGTGTGAGAGGAGGGGTTGAACAGAAAGTCAAGCGCTCCTTTCCCCTCTGCCAGTGAAACGGAGGAAGGCTGGGTTGTCTATGTCGGGCTACGCCGTGCTATATATGGTCCAGCTTCCTCTCTGAGTGATGGTACCGACGAGCCTCGACGACGGTCACCATTCCAAACCCCAACGAGACGCTCTCCGCACTGCTTTACGCACTGAGAATAGGAATCCAAATCAAGTTTCGTGCCGTCATTCCGACGGACACCATCAAGGACTTACGGATGTTAGGGCATTCTCCGGCTTCATCATACCTACTGCCAACCAAACACTACTCTATGGAATGAGGAACGATGGGAATATTACTACATGAAAACTCAATTGAAACGAATAACGTTGGCGTCTCCACAGTTGGGAGGATTGAAACCAAGCTCTCGCCTCACTTCAGTCTTCAAGCCACCTTTAAGAGCGCTCGGAGACCATACCTATCGCCTCTCCGTCTGCCTCTTACCCATTGTTTCCCGGTGCGAGTAGTCACTAGTTGGCTGCCATGGCGGACGACGTGACCACCTTGCTCGATCCTCTGAATCTCACATACAAAACATATTATTTGGTTTGTTTCTGGCTGGAGGTACGGATAGATTCAACTTGAAACGTGCGCCGTCTAATCCTCCTAGCAGTCTCTTCTCTATGGTTGTTTCATTCAACTTCGTGACCCGCGACACGTTCCTCATACCCGCTCTTCTAGGGATCTATTTCTGTCTCTTCGCCGCAACGCTCAACATAATGCTGCGGAAACGTTCCCTAAACACTTTCTCGTCTCGCGTTTTCCTGACCGGCGTCATCATAATGTTCATTATAATTACTTTCCACAACTGTGAGTACAGGTTTTTGCGAGCTAACAACGTTTATTTTCGCTGATTCCTCCGCTATCGCCGACGACAGCTCTAAACGTCTACCGAATGATCACAGCATACGTATACCAGGTTCCGTTGGAAGCGGCTGTCCAATACATTCGTAATTTAGACAACTGGGATGCATACGCTCTCCCACTTCTGCTGGCGATTCTCATCTGGCTGGCCGATATACTCGCCGTGAGTGAAAGCCTTGTCCCAGGCTCACTACTGACCTTCACATACACTTACACGTTGCGGATAGATATATCGATGCTATCTCATCTGGAGCCATACCCTCCTCCCTGTGGCACTTCCTATCCTCCTGCTCTTAGCGAGCATAGGTCAGTCCCTGCGGAACACCGTCGCATGGGTGTCGATTATTGACTTACTGACCTTTACTCAGGCACCCACTCCGTGAACCTCTGGTGGTTCGGCCACCGCACCGCACGCTCCATCGACGAAATGCAGCCCCTCTTCAACACCACATTCCCCCTCCACCTCGCTCAGAACGTGCTAACGACATTCCTAATCGCCTACAAGATCTGGATGGAGCACCAAAAGGTCAAGCGGATCGGTATCGCAGTGGTGGGCGGGATGAACCTGATGAGCGTCATCCGGATCTTCATCGAGAGTGCAGCGCTGTATACCATCGAGATGCTCCTCGCCGTCATCTTCTTCTTCGCGCGCCACCCCGCACAGGTGATCTTCCAGCACGCCTTGATCCCCACCACCGGTAAGTACCAAGTTTACATCTATTTCAACCCGCTCTCCGAGGAGCGGTTTATTTATGAGAGAATCCAGGTATCGTCTTCGCCCTCCTCGCCATCCGCGTGCACACCGCCCGACACCGCGACCACGGGCGAAACATCCAAAGTTCCAACTCCATCATCCCCTCCTGGCTGCACGGGGGCGAGGACAACCGGAACGCAGGAACAGGGACCGCCTCCCGGCGTCTAACCCAAGGTGGCATGGGCATGCCAATCGTCACCACCGTCACTGAGGAACACCGGCTGGAGGATATCACCACCTTCAACCGCCATGATTCCGGCTCTGATGGGAAGACGGACGGGAACCTGACATATGATCAGAATAGGACGACGGACGTCAAGTTCGTCGTCTGAGATCTGACTCGGACGTTCGTGTTGTGTATTGTATTGTATTGACTATGGACAGAATACATTTTGTATAATGATATATCTAGCTTATCTGACCTCTTGGCCTATGAGGCTAAGTAACTCAATTGGACACCACCTTAATCACTGCGCGGGTGGATATCTCAATTTGACTTTGTTAGGATGCAAAGTCAATGACGGGATCATCTCCGATCACAGATTGTCAGATTTTCCCTTCTGCAGATCTTCACTGGACCAGTGGTTCGAAGCTGAGGGTAAGTACCCGCACGCGGTGAGTGAGATACAAGATACATACAACGATCACCTCCTTTCCATTATAAGTATCCCAGTTTTAAGTATCCCAGTTTGATAGGGCACTGAAGACGAAAGAATTCCCCTCGCCCGACCTGCCCGTCTCCAGCGCCCCGATCACACCTCATCACATCACCGCGCCCGACTACTACCTTGTATTCAACTCCTCTACAGCATGATTGAACGGCGTTGGGCAGTGCTGCCTCGAGCACGCATCTGTCAACCAATCCCTAAATCAAGACTAGACGATGTCCAAGTGGGCTTGAAGTTGAATGTAAGTATGTAGATGAATCAAGGCTGCGCACGGGGATCAATCAGGACTCTGTCACCGTCGAGGATAAGGTCACCAAGCAACACCTTGTCACGTTGAGGCTAAAAGCCTTTAACAAGGAAGAGCCGTCCAAGGCATAAAGTACATCTCCTCCTTCAAGTTCCCCTCCCTTTTTCCACATAAACCGTAGATTCCCTGCGGTAGACGAACAATGAGCCTGACAGCGCTAGCAAACGGAACATACACAATCTCCTCACTGGTGGGGTCCGATATCTTCTACCTCCAATTCCGAGATAGCGCACCCGGTTCAAGACTTCGTGGTCGACCTTACTCCGGGGATGACTCCCAGCACGTACGCCTTCTGTCTTCGTTCGTCATTGTTCCTGCCACTCCACTTCACTGTCTACCTTGCCTTCATCTTGCCCTCTCCCTTGCCTTCACTTCGCCCTCAGACTTTCCCATCCCCATTACGAACGCGTTTTTCTGAGACATCCTTCGCCTCGTAGTGGGAAATCAGAACCTCCGAACTCCCAAACCAATATACGATCCTCAACGCGCTCTATCGCGTGCATGTCACGTATCCTCAGGCTCCACCGGCCGAAGGAGAGTTTCCAACGCTCGAATCTGGATCAGCACCACAAAAGTGGTTCATCTTCTCCTCCCAAAATGGCTATACGTAAGTTTAACTATGTACCTTTTTTCACCCACCAAAACGCCCTCCACCGACGTAACTCGATTGAAAAATCAATATTTAGGATATCAGATAATGCGAACAGGACATCCGTATGGAACATCGCAGGAGGTGCAATCGTCGACCACGCCAACGTACGTACGGTCCCTTCCCGACTCGTAAAAGACGACCCACTCTGATACAGTATACGTCCCCCACCTGTAGATCATCCTCTACGACTACCACGAATTCGCCGAAAACGAGCTCTGGAACATCGTACCACGGGGTTCCAATACCACAAGCGAAGGTGCAGTAACACTTAGCTTAATCTCTCGCTCTCCCCTCTCGTCGTCGTCCGAGTCCCCCAAGTTCTGATTAGCGCCCAATTGCACACTCTAGGTCCAGCAACAGTTACGGTCTTCAAACCGCTCACCCGCCTGGCCCCGCGTACAAGCACGTCATCCGCATTGCAAAGCCCTAGCCCTCCCACGGATACCGCCAGTAACGAGACCGAGATCAGTGGGGCGCTCGCAGTGCGGGGCTGGGGATTTACAATGGTCCTTAGTGTTGTGATTTCGATACTTTATACTGCTATGGGGCCCATCGTGGTTTGAATACCGTCCAACAATTTAAATGGTAGATCAACGCTCCTTAAATGTTTGTCACCCTATGGGGTTTCAACTTCTCATCACGCTCGCTACATGCTTGGCGCTCAGAGAGTCGAGTCTGGCCTCGGGACTCAGACGTGAATGTGTAGTGAGAGTGAGACGCCTAGGGAAACGGACTCAGGAATTCGGAAGGAACTCGGATTGGTTTGGAATTATAAAAAGTGTTGTAGGCTAAATCGCCTAAGTAATCAAGCTGTAGGCGGTATTTTACCGACCACCCATTCCGTATTGTGTATCGCAAACCATTTCTTACATTGCAGGGCTGTAATTCTAGTATCCGTACTCAGTGTCCCATTTCTTATGGCGGGGTTTAAGTGCTTTGTTTGGATCTGTTAGCAATGGAAGCCTTTGCCCTCCATCAACCCGACTTGGCACAACTGATTGCGTCACTCATTCGGAGCCAACTCTCAACGATACCACCATCAACCCAGAGCTATTCTAACGACTCTACTACTAACGACCTTTTACGACTCCACCACCGCCAAACAAGAAAACATGCCACCAATCAGCCTCGTCCGCGTGCGCTCCTCCAACGCCCTGGCAGCGAGCGCAATCAAAGGCTCGCCCGTCGCCGTCTTCGTCGGGGGGACGTCGGGCATCGGTCAAGGGATGGCAGAGGCCTTTGGCCGTCTGACGAACGGCAACGCACATATCATCATCGTGGGTCGCAATCGACAAGCTGCAGAGTCGGTCCTGGCTAACATACCCACCGCTACCACCCCGCTCGACCCAGCCTCCAACCACCCCTGGTCGCGCGAGTTTGTGCAGTGCGACGCGACGTTGATGAAGAACGTGCAGCAAGCTTCGCAGGAGATTTTGGACAAGTACCCGAAGATTAATTATTTGGTGCAGAGTCCGGGGTTTATGACGACGAGTGGGAGGGACGAGACGGAGGAGGGGATTGATAAGAAACTGGCGGTGCATTATTATGCGAGGTGGAAGTTTATCGAGGGGTTGTTGCCTGCGCTGAAGGCTGCGCATGAGAAGGGCGAGGATGCGAAAGTGATGTCGGTCCTCGCTGCTGGCACGGGTGGGGAGATCGACTTGAACGATTTGGGGCTCGTCAAGAACTACTCGATTACCGCTGCTGCGTTACAGGCAGTCACGTATAACGATCTCATGATGGAGGTGCGTCCATTCGTCCACTCTTCCTTCTTAACCTTTGTTCCAAGTGACGTTCTCTTGCTTCCAGGAATACGCTGAGAGGAACCCAGGCCTCACCTTCATCCACTCCTACCCAGGCGTCGTCAAAACCTCCATCATCTCCAACTCCCCGTCCAAATTCATCCGCCTCACAGGCAAGATCATGCCCCTCTTCTCGCTATTCATGACCTCCAAAGAGGCGTGTGCGCAGTACATGTGGAGCGCCATTTTCAACCATACAGGCGGGGCCTTCAGGACTGGTTCGTCTGGGGAGAACATCGGGAAGAAGAGGTACTTTGGGAATGAGGAGCAGAGGAAGAAGTTGTGGGAGCATACGGTTGAGAAGACGAGAGTTGTCGAAGGCTGAGTGCGTTGCGCTGAGTGCGTGGACTCAGTGTATGCCGATTTCCGTGCGTCATCCTCTCTACCTGTTGCCCTACCCTTTTCTTCTGCTATCGAAGGTTCCAGAACCTGACCCCTATCACGTTTCGTCTCTCCATCGAGGACCCTTACCACACTTTCCGTCTCATTATATATGCGATACCAATATGTACAGCGCTGTAATGTAACTAGATAGTTTACGGTACACGACATGGAATGACTAGTCTCTGTAAATTACGCCTAATTAGTCTTCTGGATCCTTGAGCAACGCTGGCCAATGTTACAGCTACACCCTTCGAGTCGTCTAGTCCCTAGGCGTAACCAGACGTAGGCCGACTAGTAGCTTGATGTGTACACATTCCCCACGGACGGGAGAACGGCTGACTCGGACTCACGACGACATTCCCCAAAAAAGTCTCAATCCCCACAAGGACGCCTGGGACTCAGCATCTCAGTCTAGTGATTCGACCAGCATTCCTCGTCATCGACCTCGTGATTGGGCGGTTCGTTCGGACAGGTACATCGAGAGTATCACGACGACCAACCCTCTCTTTGCAAGCTTCTGCGCCAAGTCTACATCACTCACTTTACGTTTCTTCGAGCGAATCGGGGCGTCCGGCATAGGTTCTTGCAGGTTCTCGGGCGATAATCCTTCCCTCTCATTATAGCGACGCGGCTTCAGAAGTTCCAACGCCTCCCAGTCGCTCCTTCAGCCTTCCAACCCCTCAAAAAACGAAGAGAAAGCCTCACAAAGGATCCAAGAATACGAGACAAGATCAGTCTGCCTGCATTCCATAATCCGCTTTGCACATTCCGCGTATACCACCCTCCTTAGGGTGTTGAGGCAGGCTAGAAAGGACGACTGAAGCAGCGAGGGCGGAAGGAATTTGAGAAGGTCAGCATTCTGTCCAAGATGGTGGTGTAGAATGAAAAAACCGCATCGAGGCATACGACGAATGGATGTACTGCTGGAAGAATGCCCCTCTGCCAAACGCCCGCGAAAGGTTCTCCTCCAATCGCATGCTCAAAGTTGTCGCCCCGTAACACCTCCTCGAGCTCCATCAAGTCTGAATCTACTCTGGAATCCTTCGAAAGAGGATGCGACTTCCAGTTAATGCCTCGTCCAAATGCTGCAATGTCTCGAAATAGAGCTTCCTGAACCTCCGATTCGACGGGTATTGAAACGTCGACAGAAGAGTCCTTTAATGCCATTGTCGATGTTCCTGGGATTCTCTGAAAATCGGAGGCCGAGTGAACCTGTTCAACTTTCCAGCCTCGTCCATAACGCCCAGAGAGGCGAGTAGGACGGTGCTCCCAGATCACCTCCAGGGTTTTGTAGAACAGGGGAACCGTCCGCTCGCCGTCGGGTGGAAGCTCATAGACGTAGCCAGTTCCACCGTGGAGTAGGGTTACGAGCGGATCGAACCCCAACTGCTCGTACGACGAACAGAAGAAGGAGACGAACACATGGGCGAGGATATCCGAGTGCTGTGAGCCGAGCTGTCAGGACAGGTACAAACCGAGCGAGTGAGTGAAAGCCATACCTGCTGTACGTCAAAGGGCTCCGACCTGATGGTCAATGACCTGGAGAAGTACCACAGGGATACATTTCTGTCTTCGACGGTCACCTAAGGAGAAACGAGGTCAATCCCAAGGGCAAAGGTAATAATTAGATCGACATACCCCATACGAGAACCTTCGACGAGGGTCCTCATTGAAGATTTTAGCTGCGTTCGATAGGATCTTTGATTCCTGAAGAAAGACAATTGTGTTAGCGGGTAACTACACCCCGAAGTGAAAGACACATACCGCTGGAACTGAGGTCGACGTGACCTCAATTGGGACCACGATATCGGTCAACTGTAGTTGAGAACCCGGATTTCCCGTGATACAGGCATTGGAGCGATGCTCGCTTGTTTCATCCAAGCGAATAGAGCACTCGTTGGTTGCCGCTTTCACCTTCCCCAGGGCTCTGCGAATTGCGTTCCCGACGGTTTGGAAAGATTTTGCGATACGGTTGGGTGCAGAAGAACCGGTACGGAACAGTGTGTTAAGCGTCTTAAAGACGTGTGTGAATGGAGCCTTTTGCTTAGACGATGAAGGTTCATTGCGAAGCGGCCTGCCACGCGCGACCAAGGCCTTCTCCTTCTTCAACGCTGCAAAAAACGTCGTCCAAAGGGATTTTGTGGTCGGGTAGATAATTCTGAACAAATTCGTCGACTTGACCCGTCACAAAATCGTTAGAAATCGTAATGAGAGAAAATTCCGCAGGTAAGTTGAGGAGATTGGATTGGAATTTAAACGCGAATTGCTTTGGAGATGGTGGTGGTTCAAAGACAACCTGCAATCGCTGCCGCGCGCGGCGATGGGCATCAATGCCCGATTTAAATTTCTCACAGCGTGATCGCGGTACTCACGTGGTCTGATCCAAACGGAGCGCTCGGAGTCGTTATGGACAACGACAGCGTAGCCTGCGTGCTTGAAAGTCTAGGGAGAAGACGACTGTCGACCTATAGTTACCCCATAAAGCTTATTTATGAACTTCAAACTCTGTGTTTGCCAGTGTCGCTGTTAGCTTTAAGACCCATAGTCACTCCGAGGTCGTGGGAACGGTCCATTTATCGCAACCAGTACGGCAACCGCATCTTGTCCTTGAACCACCACCATCTCGCAAACCAAATCTCATTGACTTCCTCTATCAGCTGGATTTTGAAACAAAAAATCATGGAAGCTGACGTTTCAACTTGTACAGTCGGGAAATTCTTTGACAACTATCTCCCTAACCACGGAATGGAGTTCGATGCGGTGGTTGGTGATCTAATGAAGCAGAATGTTCTTGTTTCTCGAGGTCGTTCTTTGAGCCAGCAGCCTGCTTCGCTCCCCAAAAGTACACGTTTCACCCACACATTCAAATCCTTCAAAACTCTTTTCAGATCTCGCACAACCAATCCCACCCGCGTCGTGAAGGCGCTACAAACGATCGGCAATGCCGTTCGTAAAGCTCTGGGAACGTCCCCAGACAGCGAAGTCAACGGCTGCTCTGTTAGGCTCGAAGATACCATCGCATTGGTCTCTCATGGATGCCTTACCACGAATGAGGGCGCGCTGCAGCCCACCGAGGTTGTAGTGCCGATGACAGCCGCTGCTGACAATTGCGACTATACGTTGTCGAATGAGGTACGTTCTACCACTATTTATGTTATGGTCTATTTACTCATGTTTGAATCTCTCAGGCGAAGGCTAAGCTGTTGTCCCGTGCCACCGAAATTATGAATGAGGACGCTCGTCGAAGGTTTTGCTTTGGTGTACATCGATTCTCGCTCTCGAGACCGATTCAATTGACTGATGTGGTACCAGGTAACTTGTGAAGGGCCCGAGGTCACTCTCTGGCGCTTCGCCAGATCTATCGTTGTCAAATCGACACCGTTCGACATGACCGAGGTATGTTCCAAGTCATTACTTGTTCGGCGTTTTCGAGGTGTGTTCTGACACCGTTTCTCTACCAGCAACCAGACCTTCTGGTCAAGCTTTTCGTCGCTCTATTCTCCACCCCTCTACACCAACTCGGTTATGATCCATTGGTGACTTTACTCCCCGATGGGAACTACATCTATCAGCTCTCTTCGTCGACAACGCTCTATTTTAAAACCATACGTCCTATCTGGGATGTCCGTCCCACCTCCCTCTCCGGACGACGCACGCGCATCTGGGAGGTTGAACAGGTGATCTCGCCAGCCCAGCCAACGCGCATCCCAGGGACTCCTACCAGGGCCCTGAAGGATGTATTCCTGTCTTCAAAAGCGAGGACCGAAGCTGACGTTCAGGATGATCTTTTCGCTGATATAGCGAAGCTCGGCCAGGACCCCAACTGGCGATCTCGTCCGCTCCTAAAGGACTTTTCTCCAGTCCACCTTGAGGCGCTTGCTCAGGCGCTAGAAGGCGATCGTTTCAAGGAATATTTCTCCCGCATCATTGCGAATCACCTGGGGGAGGATGATCACCCTGCGTCGGTCACTTCGCCCACGTCTCGACCCAAGCGTCGGTGTCTCTTCTTGTACGAACATATTTGTACACCACTCAACAACGTCGCCACACTGGGTGAAGCCGTTGATATACTTAAGCAGGCTCTCATCCGTACGTCAATCCCGGTCAACCTGTAAATCTAATTCTTACTCCCCTCTCTTTAGCGTTACATCTAATGTTCTGCGCGGGCTGGGTACATCGTGACATCAGTCCCGGCAATATCCTCGCGCGTCGGGATGCGTCTACCTCAGTATGGCAAGTCAAATTATCGGACCTCGAGCATGCGAAGAGGTTCCCTGACTGCGAGATGGCCTCTTCCGATCACATCACGGTAGGTGTACCTGATGACTGCGTCTCGTACCAATGCTGACCAACGACCGCAGGGAACACCTTATTTCATCGCTTGCGAGATTCTCGAGGACAACCAGTTTTTCCCTCAGACGCTAGATCACAGTAAACCACCCCGCACATACCAGCTCTTCGACATCGTCCACACGTACCAATATGACTTGGAGTCGATCTGGTGGATTCTGCTCTGGCTGGTAACCGTGCGAGTCAACCAGAACCTGCCAAAATGGTTCGGAAACAAATATTTTCAGCAGCGGGTCGATTTGGAGTACGCTGGGACGCGGGCCTATTTGTTCACCAGACCCCTCGCCTACGTTCCCAAGATAAAGGAATGCATCCCTCAGGAACTACTTTCGTCATTCTTCGGCCGCCTCGACGTTCTGCGAAATGATCTTTACCGCGAATATGTCACTCGGAACCGCGATGGAAGTTATATAGATATCGAATCCTACTCCTGGATTGCGAGCGAGGGATTCAACAAGTTTTATACTGGGATAGAAGACTCCAGGGATGAGTGGGGAGCTATCGACCTCATAGTTGATACGGTACCCGAACCTGCCCTTGACGTCCGAAAAGAAGACCCTTCGCCTCCTCCCCAGTTATCCAACATCCCGTTATCAAACAAACGCAAAGCTAACCCGGCTCTGGGACAGGGGGGACCGTTGAAGAAGAGGCGATCAGGTGGAGCGAGGGATAGGGCGGTCGCTGTGCGAGTGGACGGACCGGTGACCAGGTCGATGACAAGAAACGCGGGACCAATGACGAGGTCTGCCACTCGACGTCTTCAGGAAGCGGAGAAAAGAAAGCTCGCGCTTCAGACAGGGACTCGCTCGTCGAAATAGGTACATTAGGCGCTTGCTGCATCGGTAGTAACTAGTCTATAATAAACTGATTCGTGTGTTGACAAAAGGAGTGATCCCTTGAGCTTTATTCGTTACAGCCTACAGAATGCGTCGACGGAGTGGCGCATAGACGAAATTCGAAGTCTAATTAACCTCTGTGGCAGTGGCATTGTGTCGATTCGAGGATTCGTAGGGCAAAGCGCTGAAAACACACGTGACCTATGGGAATTAATTTCTAAATTAACAAATCCTCATACCATCAATCCATCATTTCGGTTGTCTTCACCTGAGCTGAACGAAACGCGTCTTGAACTCCTACTACCACTTCACTAGCCCATTCACCAGCAATCATAAGAGGTTAACTTGAAAGCGATGGTTCCAGGACTACTCAATACCACCGCCATGACGAGCTACGATGATACTCTCCCCAATTTCAAGTAAGTTCGCTTCAGTGGCACTCCAGGTGTCGTCTCAGACTAACTTTGGGAATTCGAACAGAACACCGCAGTATGGACGTGTAAGACGCGTACCGAAGGCAATTACAGCATATACACCGGCAGAGAACAGAATTATCGCAGCACCAGAAGCAAAGGCGACCGCGATCGGCTTGAACATCGGGAGCGAAATGAACAAGGAGACGTCCGTTTGCGATATCGAGGTGTTCATGGATCACTATCTTCCAAAGGTCGACGGCAATATCCTGTGCACTGTTCTCGATGACCTGGAGAAGAGGGGTAGTCTTGTACCTCGCGACATCCGTGCCACAGAAGCTCAGGCTGCCACCCCACGGGTCGCCACTTTGGACACCACTACTCTCGGCCGTGTTATTTGCAAGGCGCTCGAAAAGGCCGGTATCAAGCCAAACGAGCATATCATTCGTATGTTCCGCAACAACCAGCGCAAGTCGCCAACCAATGGCAGTATTCGTGGCACCACCGATGTAGCTGTGGCATTTGAGTTCAAGTCGACGCGCGTGGCCGAGATGGAGGTATGTTCTTTCTTTGCTATGGCTTGAGTCAGCCAGATCCTGACATGTACACCATTTTTTAGGACCATGTTAAGGTGGCATTTCAAGCCAGCGACGCAATCAACGACGATTCTCGACGCAAATTCGTTCTTGGGGTATGCTTTCGACGTCCCCTAGGATACCTCGATATACTAACTTCAACTCTTAGATAACCATCGAAGACGATTATGTTTCCCTTTGGTATTTCTCCCGTACCCATTCCGCGAAGTCAGTGTCACTCAGTATGGTCGAGGTTAGTTTCCTTTTCAACTGCTAACCGATGTGGATACTAACTCTACCTCTTAGCGAGCTGATCTTTATGTTAAGATCATGATATCACTTTTTTGTGCCACCGATGAACAGCTTGGATTCGACCCCCTCGTGCAGTTGGTCAGCGACGATGATCTCACAAATTCAAGTGACGAGATACCTGAAGACACGTATTACCACACCAGGCACTCAGTTTCTGCAAGCCGCTCTGTTGGTCGTGCAGGTCGCTTCAGTCGTGCTCGACAGGTTGAGCTCGTGGACCCCGTCAACGAGTCGGGTGCGGAGGACATGATCTTGAACGATGTTTTGTCATTGGTTGGAACGCCAGCTGAGGCTGCCACTCAAGAGTTGGTACTCGCCGATATTGAGGGACTGAGAAAGGACTCTGAGCAGCCCCTGTACGACGCCCCACTCATGGGGGCATTGTCCGAGGCGGACAGTGCTTTCCTCACAAGCCTCCTTCAGGGTGCCGAAAGTGGCTTCTGCCTTGGACTCTGAGCGGCAGCGTACAAGCGAAGGCACCGCTGAGTTGGGCAATGATTCAGCAAACTGTCAGTAGGAGAAGAGGGCGACTATTCCAAGGACCAAGTGGCAAGTCCATGAACCAGGCTGGTGCTGTGGATTTGAAGGCGAGAGAAATCGGCTGCCAAATATCAGAAGAAAGCGAAGAAAGACAGTCGCGATGGACCCCAAACCTTGGAACCTTGCAGAGAGCTCGTTGTTAATGTTCCCCTGTACTCATCTTACCCTCGGAGGAAACGAGGCATTTTGTGTAATTTCGTGTTGTCATTCAGTATCCCTGCTGTTATACTACCCATGTAATAGTCGACTCAACGTGTACTATTTCTCTTGATTATCTGGTGCTAGTTACTTATTCCTGATTATAAAACCTATACATCGATCAACAGCCGTCCGAACTACTTGAATGAGAGAACCCCCCACGAATTTGAGGTGATTAGCGTACCATGACCCACCTATGCTGCACAAAATGCCACGATGTCGACTGAAGAACCAACCAGGACAGAACACCGGTCAAAATGCTGGAGATGTTAGAGTACGCCAGTGTGATTAAACCGAATAATGGGCGCACCTGTCGCAGATTTTTTAAAGACTTCTATCGCCTCACCCCGACCCCAGCGTCGGTGTCGTACTCACACACAAGGTAACAGGATGCGGACAGACTTGCCTACATTGACTCCGTCATCACTTGGCCATCCACACAGTTTCCAGAATGACGACGAAGGTATCGGTGGATTCTCTCTGCCAAGCGCCAGATTGTGCATCACACCACATTGTAGAGTATCAGGCCAGGGCTGGTACAGAATGCGACAGAATCGACCTGAGATCCGATGGTGGAGGCAATCGTGATGCGCTCAAAACTAGATAGAGCCTGTAGTAACGATAAAACTTCCTCTAATCTGCGGATTCCAAGTCATGCTCTATAATTGCGAGTGACATGGCGACCCTGCAACGAGCGCCCAAACCTGTGTCGGGGGTGATCGACCCTCGTAGCCTAATTAACCGATTCGACGATCATCACCCCGGCGATGCCATGGGCGGCGAAGCTAACAATGCTCATGGAGGGGTCATTACGAGTAACGGATAGACCTTCTAGACGGTGATCGCTGAACGAGATTGATCATGTTGAGCTTCTCGTACAGCTTGAGACGCAGTCCGCAGTCTGAGACTGGGATGGCGAGGCTGCTGTGTGGACATTATCCAGGCGCCCAAAAGAAGCTTCTGAAAGAGTGGACAAATGACGCCGTAGGTAGTAAGTTTGGGTGAGGACACGTCGGATGAGTGCCAGTGTTCTATATCAGACCACCGTGCTAGTATGTGGGTCCCAGTCGTTCGAAGGGAAGACGTCTGATTGAGGGGCTGAAGTGTGAGACGACCAGGATTCGGGAGATGAGAGAGAAGATTATATGGTAAAGTCTAGTTTAGAGCCATCTTCTTGAATTGCCATCGCATCGCGATGACAGAGCGCCCACAGAGTAACGGTGCTAGAGGCAAAAAGACAGGAGACTGAAGGTGGCACAGCCACATGAATGACAACGGCAGCTAGGGCGGCGATCAGGCAGGCAGTGTCTCCGACGAACCCTCCAAATCCTAACATCACCAAATGTTGTCGACGACATGGCGATTCCACGCTCACCGAAATCCCGACGACCACGAGGACTGAGCTCGCCACCGTCTAAAAAACCTGCCAGTGTCTCTCGCGAGATCAGAAACGAGATACTCTGACGCTTATCTGTTCGACAGAGTAAGAACATACAGACATCTTCCAAGATCCGTTGTTTGATAGGTAAGTATGGAGGATACTCACCAGCTGACAACGTTTACGGTGGGCTTGGAAGGGAACCATGGTGCTAACGAAGGCGAATTCGGCGATTAAACCAGAACCGGATGATGTTGCCGCCTGGGGATGAATCGTGATTCATTAGAATACCGGGCGGCTTGAGCGCGCTGACTTGGGGAAGCAACATTCTTCTTCATCGATAAAGTAAAGTCGACGGATTGGTTGTTTCGTTTCATCGATTGAAGGACCTACTTACAGCTCCTTAACAGGCTTAATTTATCGTCGGAACAGACATCCAAGTCCTTCCCCAAGGTAAAGGTACCCTCCATCGCAGAGTCTAAATCACCTCCGCCGAGCGCTGCCCTGAATTAGGCGCCTCACACTCAGCCCGGGCCTGAGCGCGACGTCGACTTGCTGCCATCAAGTTCCGCCATCTCTGCGCGGGGCTAGCTGGAACAATGACGACAGCCCTGTTTACCATCCCATCTATACCCAGGCCCTCGTCAACGGACCGGCACTTGTCACTTCGCAATTCTAACGTGCTTCGTCCAATGGAAAAGTTCGAACCTCGCTCGGTGGACCGAAAGGCTATGGGCATTCGCTTGAAATTTCCTCTCTGGGATCCAAGTCCGAACAAGCGACTTGGGCGCTTTACGTACCTGTGGCTAACCTTGCTTCCCTCGTACTCTTCGCTCTGGACGTTGGGTTGTGGGCAACGGGCATCCTGGAACCTCTTGCGTCATAGTTATCTCCCTCGGGTACTCCGGCTGTAACCACTCCCGACGAGATAAGGCTTGGATTTCATAGTGTTGGGCGAAGGGCTGAGCATCGGTTCAGGCAGGTGCGAGCCTCGAGGCTGATCTCGGGGTCGAAGTACTGTTGAGTCATGCCCCTGCCGGTAGGCTATGACGTCGGTCCTCGCTCATCGATAATGCCTGACCTGGACCATGGTCAAGCTTGCTTGACGGCGTCGGTGGGTGGCTGTCACAGTGTCAGCCTACTTAACGACAATCGAGATGAATTCGAGTGAACCTCCGGATTCCGTTCATTAATGGAATCCCATCTCACTGGGTTCGCTCGGGATACCTCTGGCTGGTTCCATTCCATGCGAAAGACGGCCATACATGAACCTCGGGGAAATACTCGCTGGAGCTTGACTCCTCGGTCTAATCTTGGTTCACAGCTGTCCTTCGGTGACGTCGGTCGTGAGAACAGCAAAGCTGGGCGCAAGTGCGGATGTTGACGGAACTACATCATCTTGACTTCACACCTGTGCGCTTAGCTGTTAATTTTAGCGCCAAGTCCCCTGCCTTTTCGGGTAATTTGAAACGCTTAATTCCTAACGTAACTTCTCTGCAATGGAAACTCAGCACTAGGACGTGGTCTCCGTCTGTCTTTCAGATTATCGCCACCACGTACGTCCAATCTAACTATAGGGTATTGCTTGACTGACTCGTCCAATTTTCAATAGCCGCACTAACGAAGCTTCAGTGGTGAATGGCGGGTCGCATCAAGAAGTTCCAACCCGACTCCCGACTCGAGTCACGCCATGGTGCATTTCCCTTTTCTCCGAGGACTAGAGTCCAGCGCGCAGCTCAGTTTTTCGTTTTCGAATGCATAAGGATTACTCACCAATGTCCACATTCCGAACGCGATCCTCTTATCCCGGGATAGCCTGAATAATACTTCTGAACTCCGAATCCCAACCGCTTTAACCGCTGACAACAGTCTAAGCTTCTAGACAGACCGACAGGCAGGCGAGAATTCTCTTCCAGAATATCGAATGGCTCTCTTCGGGCTTGGCGTCATTTCGAAAAGGCCATTGTTCCCTATGTCCGGAGAAAGTCTCCGCATTGTTCAATCTTCTCCACCGCACAAGTCCAGTCACATACCGTTACCTATTCATAATCCAGACCCTCTTCGTGTCGAAATCGGCGATGTCATAGGAGTTGTGATCCCGTGTGGAACGCGATATGACTGACACGCGATGGTGTATTGGCGGTTTGCGGGTATTGGGAGGTGCCGGGTTATGAAAGCGCGGAGGTGGATGGATCATCCGAATCTAGATGCGAGGTGGGATAGAAAGCGGGATTTTTGAAGAGGGACGGCGTTTCATGAACGTGAGTATATGCGCAAACATTGAGAAATCAGGGAAGGGTGGTATTTCACCCGCTTTCCTTCGCTCTTATAGGTTTTGGTTCGCATAACGGTGACTCGCTCAGGCTCGGTGGTTTTCATCCTCGTCCGTCTTGATTTTTATCACTCGCCCTTGCAGATGATAACTCACTATTCTCTCGATATCGAGAGTCAATCTCAAGATTCAGGGCGCTAAATCAGTAAACCACTATTGAGACCACCAGTATTCTCCCGGTGGCGACCCCTCAACGGCTTCAAGGGTCTGCCTGGGACTCCAATTGCCATATCGTAACCTTTCGTTCTGACATTCCACGCGATTACCCTTCTTCCTTCATCCGAGTCAGGTTTCCATCTAGAGTGATAGAGTCAAGCCTCCGTTTGAGGAAAGAAGCTTCGCACTTCGAATTGATTCGTCATTGTTGGCCCTATTTGGTAGGAGGATCTGTATCTGTGTCTCGTCTCCGTTTAGCTACCGATCAAAAAAAATTCGGGTGCGGCTCGCGCGTTCTACCCCTCCCGCTGGCGTCCTCGAGCCTGTAGTGGTCGAACGAATGATACCCTTATTTCATCGCGCCCATAACTGGCACGAGGTGTACCCGCATGTCAATCCTCAACTTTGGTACTACATTGCTCTGTCAGATTCACTGAAAGGTTGGACTCTCGGAAAGAGCCACGCTCCACCAAGCGCGTGCCTAATTCTACTATCCATTTGGTTCGGAAAGATCTGACGAAAGTCCTTGGATTGGGGGTAGAATCTGAGGTGCTACTCCACTGGCAGTCACCTCACTGATCCTCTTTCAGTCGGACTGTTCTAGAGCTTAACTATAGGGCTGAGAGCCATGTCTCTTCGCGATATAGTCTCAGATCGAGAGCCTGGTCCGTGCATACTAACTGCATTCTCCAATTGCACCCGTCGCAATTCAGTGACCTGTGACACCTCTCTCTGAATAGCGACTGGACATCCGAATCGGAAGGGGTACCAGTCACTAATTCTCAATGCGCAGATTTGGAGCATCCTTCATTCATCTCTGAGTACCCCATCTTCCATGGTACATGTGAATCAGGGGTTTTAGTCCAACCAGTCTAAATAAAGCTCACTGCAAGGACACCCGCACATACTTGATCGATAGATACCCTTCCGAGTCGGAGAGGAAGTACCTATGTACCCCCTGTATTTCAATGGCCTGGGGTTGTCTTGTCAGGAACGATTCATTGGAGAAAGGAAAGCGGGGTCATTGAAGGGTGTTGTGCGAGGGTCGCTCCCGAGCGAATGAAGTTTGAGGGTGATGTTGGGGTAGAAGGGACCGAGAAGTGAGGGAATGGGGTGGAATGAATTACTTCTGTGACGTCGTCGTTCTCCCCATACGTTTGCGTGTTCTTTGCGCACTTCGTGTTCGTGAGCTAGTCGATAAACTGAACAATACCTCGCTAGCTGAATTATATTTTCCTTTTCCCATAAGCCCTCATCTCATAGGATGTCTTGAACCACGAGGATTCTACCCTTTCGATGTGTGATAAACCAGATGTGAAAACAAGTTACAACCACAATCGCCCCCGAGCCGAAATCGAACTCCCAGTGCGTGCTCGTAGGGTGGGCGTGAAACCCTGGTGTGCTACTTAACAGGAGGATTTCTGTGCGGATGTTAGGGGTTCGGGATGCAATAAACATCGAATATTGAAAGGAGGGAGCCAGGAAGAACGCCAGGAAGAACGCCAGGTTGAAGATAAAGGACGGAAGTGCAAGAACTGCTCGATCGAACAGAGCCGTAGGTCGATCTAGGTCCTAAGAAACGACATGAATGACGCGGAGTGAGAGTAACCAGAAAGTAAACGAAAGAAAGAAAAAATGCCTTACACCCTCGGGTCAGCCTTCCCCTACGCCCCCGCAGATACTAAGTAGCGGCAACCCTCCAGCGACGAGATCGCCACTCACAAAACGCACCGTACACTTGAACTCCACAGCTCGTCCATTGGCATGGAAAAAACTTACGAAAAACCCAACGTAGATTACAAAAAAACAAAAAGCACAAAAACGTTAAAAAATGAAAAAGGAACGCTAAAGGCAAAATCCAGAGGCGTCAACTCATGCGGTGCAAAGGCAGAAGACACGAACACGGGAAAAATCGCACCTGATGATTATTTCGTATCCAATCACACCCTGATGATTATTTCGTATCAAATCGCACCTGAGGATTATTTCGTCTTCCCGCTGGCCTTCCTCCTAATTTCAGGCTCAAGAGGGAACCTTTGTTCTTCGGGCGCGATGGAGTACAGCCGCGTCCAGATACCTTGCAAAGGGCCAGGCGTCGGCCACGCCAACTCGTCGTTCCGCAACCAAAGTCAGACCAGGTGGCGGCTATATCCAATCGCCCGGTTTTCCAGTCCCAGTTTGTCGCATAGACGTTGTCAGTTCCTTTGTCTTTTTTCACAACCTAAACTCGAGTCGAAATCACTCACGCTTTGTCAGGGCTGTCCCTAAATCCATCCCTCGCATGCAGGAGTCCGAGACTATTGATGTACTGGATATCGCCCTTTTGGAAGTTCAGCCCTAGAGTGTACTTTTCAGCGAGAAAGTGGATGGCGTCTAGCGCTTCGGCTTGGGCTTCTGTGATGGGTGGGATATCAGGATTGCGTTTTTGAGGGCCGTACCCCGTGAAGTGACGGCGGGAGTATTGGAAGACGACCTTGCTCTCTCCGTTGACGGCGACGTGGTAGAGGAGAGGTCGGGTGGTGTAGCTTGGGGTGCCGCCAAAGCTAGAAATAAATGAGATTAGTATCGGGATACCAGAGTAAGCGCGTGAAATGAGGCCATATAAAAATAAGTAATGGGTTTGCATTCACCTATCTAAAGGCCATGGCTCGGATAGGGTTTTGATCAAGTCGGGCCTTGTAGCGGCTAACTCGTTGTATATCCTGCCACCGCTACTGATCCTCGAGGTGCCGCCCTCCGCAGCCGTTTCTGAGTGCAATGAGGTCCCCGATGTCGGTATGAAAGACCGGCTTGTCGCTGGTATACGCGGAGTTGCCGATCCCGCCCTTCTCTTGTGCATGGCTGACGGTGAGGTCTTTGATGTGCGCCAGGACGACGCCTGAAGCGTCTTGTCTCTGCCTCGAGCGGTACCGACATGTGAGGAGATCCCTGTTCGAGAATCGCCCATGTCAAAACTCATCCTTGTGTGGTGTGGAAAATGGGAAGGGGGGCGTACCGGCATAGATGATAAAGAGTTCCTCCCGCGTGTACTTCTCAATGGGTATCGTCCTCAATACGAAGAATCCTCTCCCGGAATAAAGCTCCCTCGCTAAATCTTGCAACACCGTGCTGAGGGTGGGAAGAGGAAAAGTATTCTTCCCCACAAAACCCATAGCCAGATCGAGGCCTATCCAAGACGAAGACGAGAGCATATGTTAGAAAGAGTAAGTCAAGCCACAACAACGATCATAAATCGAGTCGAGTTTACCCTTGAAATGATTCAACCCAAAATCGATCTCCCGCAACTGTTCCTCGCTGAGAGTATACACCCACTGGTCTTCGCACTCCCAATCTTTGCCTTCCCAGACGATTGGACCGAGAACTTGAGAGGGGAATCCGTCGGGGAGGGGCGTGTTGGGGAGTGACGGGTCTTCACTGAGGCGTCTGGCCGTGCGCTCCTTCCATTTCGCTTCGTCCGGGTGGTACCCAATATCGGGCTGCACCGCGACAGCGAAAGGCGGTTCTGTGCAAGTAAGAGTAGTGGTCGACATACTCAGATATCTCTGTAGATCAGCCTGCGAACTGCAGGGGACATACATCTAATATATCTGATATTGCGGCAAATCGCGGTTGTCGGATGGATAGTTATTAATCATTGGCGCAAGTTCGGTGCGAAGCCAATGCGAAGCTGATTATTATTGAATTGCGCATCAGGAAAAACGGAAGCAAAGATTGAGAAGGATGTACTTCCGGGATATCGGTGCGAGTCTAGAGACGTCTGGGTGGTTATGGTTAGCAGAGACCGAAACGATGGCGCGGGCTCATTGCCCCCAATATGGTACTACAAGGGAGTCCCTATGACCTGGATAACGGGATTCGCCCCAGTAAACTGTCAGAGTCGAGCGGGATAAGAGACGGCATGTTCTACAGAAGTCCAAGTCGGACCAATAAGCGGAAGTGAATTCGGAGCATATGAATGCAAAAAGTCGGCAATTCTCTCCAATAATATGATGTGGGTCTACATGATTGACGACCAAGGGCTGCTAGAAAAGGCACATTAGCAAAGGTAATTAATGTGTAACAATACTCATGACACACCTTGACCACCTCCTTCTCCTCCAGCAGTCTCCAGCGAAAGAAGCAACCACAATGGCCCTCGAGCCGAAAACCGAACTCCAAAATCCAAAGAACTCCCAGTCAATGATCGCGAGTCGGTCGATTGCGATGTTGGGCTCGTACCCACAAGGCCTCAGTCGTTATCCTCTCAAAGAGCGGACAGAATGAAGGAAGGGGACGAAGAAACGGTCACCTATTACATTCAGCACCTCGAGCCACGTTAAATAACTAGTCACCAACGATCGCGAGTCGGTCAATCGCGACCCAGGGTATGAACTAACCCACAGAAAATTTACGTTGTGGAATCTGGAGGCTTGTCTTATGAGTTGTAAGGATATGATAACGACGGAGATGGAGGCAGACCTCCCTGGTCGTTAACGAGCTTCCATTTCGTTTGGGGCGTGGAGGAATTCAGGGACTTGATCCTCGCGCACACAGCCCACTTATCTTGAGGATGAATGAAGTTGTTGTAGCTCAATCCGCATAGATTTGAGTGCATTGGGATAAGGGTATTCTCCAAGCCCCCTCCAAACCGTTGGCGAGGAGTCGACACCGTTGAAACCAAACAGGGACAAGCAAAGGCGCGTTCCAGTCATCGTGATTATCGGGCGGAGGACTCTTCCACCGAAACCACATAGCCGCGTCATTGACCGCCAATTCTAGCTGTTCTCCCCACCTTTCAGGACAGTCACGATAAATTCGACAGCCGTAGGATGATAAATCTCTCCTGGAAGGAGGTTGCGCGCCACTGAACGCGTTCAACACCACTTGGCGATGTCGACGACTGGTGGTTTGGTCACTGGACTAGCTTTCCCCACTAGTATCTCTACGCGTTTCTATCTGCAGACTTCTCTACCCTCACACCAAAAACTCTATTAGACGCCCATGCACTCCTGACATGCACACTGACAGGCCTCATGCCCTCGATAAGCCAGGACAAGGGTAACCAAAACTCCGGGAACTGTCTCTTCCACCACGTTCACTCCATCTATGGTCCACTGTGTGTGCACCCACCAGCTCGAGGTGCGTATTCGAGGTATCTTCGGACCAACCCCAACGCAACGAGGCCTGCCTAACCCTCGTTTTTTACCTTTTCCGCACAGATCACCCTCATCGGTTAGGCCGTTTCAAGGGTAAGGCGAGCAGAAAGGATAGGACGAAGTGGCTTCGGATATAGGATCAGATGACAGACCCCGTCCTTGTCGTCGATTAGTCGTTGATAATGCGACGACGAGTTGCGATCCACTCGTCTTATCCGTCGTTTTGAATGCAACGCTGTTGCTGCGTGGTCGGGTTCGTGGGGTTGGGTTGGTTCTTATAAACCCACAGTGGATGGATGGGGCTGGCGCTTTCCCATTCTTGCTTTCCCTTCCTTTCTTCCTCGCCTGCGATTTGTTTTACTTTCCACCATCCTCCCTCTAGGTTTTATGAACCCGCCGTTTTTGCTTTCGCTCTTGTTTCTCTTTGCCTCCCGGGATGGATAGCCTTTCCTCGTTGCACGTACTCACCTTCTCAAGGCTATAGCTCACCATGCGACTCGGGCCTCGTGCTTCTACCTCTACGTTAGGGACTATGCGATGGGGATCGGGACTGTTGGGGTCGGGTGATGGATTGCCGCGCGATTAGCTCTATTGGGTTGGTTGATGGGTGCTATTCCTCCAAGGGTGTGTACTACATTCTATTAAAATCTTGGGTTTCTCGGGATATTTCCCCATCGTGCTCGCCGTCATCGAACAGATGAGGACGTCTAGGCCAGCTCTCGGCGAATCCATGAGATGAAAACATTTACGATTCGACGTTTAACCCATCAACGCTGCGACTTGATTTTTCTTCGACGTCGGCTGGCATCGTTGTTGATCGCCGGGACGCTGTCATGGAGGCCTGGATTGGATGCCAGCACTACGTACGGAGAGCGACGACGACTGCTATCGACTCGGGGCCGACGCTGACGAACATGTCTATCCACGCTCTGCTCCCCGACAAACGCGGAAGAGACTTTGACGTTCTTGATAGTCACGTCCGCATTGCTGTTTCCCGACCTCGGCTGCACCTCCGTCTGGTTTACGACATTGCACGATACACCTAGAGTACACCCTCATTTGCGTCCCGCTTTCTCACCTTCACATCTCATATCACCATCACCCTCATACTTAATTTTCATCCATCTCGCCTCGTCGGGATATTCTGTTCGCCCTGGGGTGGCTTGGGGGTGATCGTCTAGGCGGGATGTGGTGGTGCGATGACAAGACGCGGAGATGAAGGCGGGAACACGGAGTCGGGACAACCAAACCGGTCTATAGGTGCGCTCTCTGAAATCTTCCATTTCCTGGTTTCGTTTTGGGTTTCCTACGAATGTTACGCTAGCCCTTCTGGTGACTTACTAATACCTAAATGCTCTGCCAATGCCCGAGAGCTATACGCATCCCCAAATGTTTTACTAGCCTATTCTACCCCCTGAACACTATACTAAACCGTTTAGGAAATGCTTTGGTATCCTAGCCCTCGGTAGGTCTTGAATTTCACCAAACCGCTTCAGAGGGGTTAAGGAGAGGGGTCATATCTTCTTACGGCTCCGTTGTCAACCTCTATCGCTGTCGACTACCGCCATCCGCATCGGCGCGCTCTTTCTGTCAACCGCCTTATTTCCATTTCGGGAATTACCGCGGCCCGCCTTCATTCCCGATTGGGATCCCCGACGTCATCGTCATCATCGCCTCTCACACGCCCTCGCTATGCGCCTAACTCCAAGTCCTCGTTCCTCCTCTCTCCCTGTCTCGTTAATCCTCCAGTTGACGACTCCCAGACGCTAGGATTATGATTCGGCGATTCCCAGCTTGCGAGGGGCGAGAGGGGACACATGACCGCCCTCGTGTACGGATTGGAGCGCCACATCGCAGGTCCGTCGCGGGTTTCCGGGTGGTGTGACTGGTGGTTTCCCGATATTGTGGCTCGGGGGTTTGGGGCGTTGGGGGGAACCCTGGGTTCCTGAGTGGTATCTGAAGATGGATGCGAGCGGAGTGGGTGGCTGGTAATAGGTATGGGCTCTTTGCTGGTATGGTATGGGCTCTTTGCGGGTCTTTGCTGGGGAGCGCGCAGGCTTTGCTGGTGCTAGCGCTCGTCCCATGGTGTGCTACCGTCGACGAGTGATTCGGATGCTCCTTGCTCACGAGCGGACCGACTGACTGGCTCTCGCTGGCTCGGCGCGCCTCGTTGTGTCTCTTCCCCATCGCGAGTAGTCGCTCACCTGCTTGATGCACATGCTTACGCCCAACGCTCAATCGCAGCACCCTCAACTTCTGGATGTCGAACACATGTCGGACGTTTGTAGGCATACTTGCTGTCGTCGAACGTCGAACATACTTATGTCTGGACATACCCCCAACATTCACGCTGTCTATCTATCACTGGACTGCATGCTCGAATGGTGTACATATCACGGCGACTTTCTTAAGGATCACTTACTCACCAGAATGCGACAACGAACGTGCCCGTCGCTCGTGTGATTGCTCCGCGGAGAACGGGGAGAACACGACGCTCCTGATGTACTCGATTACCTACCGGTATTGGAACACTAGGACTCTAGGATTTCAAGGTAGGGATCACAAGGATCAATGGGTAACCTGATCATGATGCATGAGCAGCGACGCAGCGTTAGTCCAAGAAGCAGAAGCTTTTCGCGTTGTACTTGAAGGGTGCATTCGTGGATATGTAATAAGGAGGGCGGTAGAAGGGCTGACGACGGGAAGGGTTGAGGGTAATGACGAGGGGAGGTAACGTGGATTAAAGACGCCTTGTTCTGTTTTTGGTATGTAGGCGCTCTGGGAAGGGTTTAGTAGTAGGAAGAAGGTTGGTGGTGCTTGAGAAGAAGTGTTGCACTGGTCGGGGAAGCAGGGTAGGGATGTTGACTAGAAGCGCTCGCTGCACTGGATTAGTAGAGCGCTGGGTGAGAAGAAGGTGAGCAATGGACGAGAAGAAGGTGAGCGATGGACTGTGGACGAGAAGCGTCCTGTGCACTGCACTCGACTTCAAAACAGCCACGGAATGGAACGAGTTTCAGGTCGGAACCATCGGGTAGCTGAATTTGAAACTGATGCGAGAAACGAGGGAAGAGAAGGGTCGCGAAGCGGTGTCGAGGAGAGTCAGAGCCATGGAGAAGCATTTAGGTTGTTGGGAAGGCTAAAGCTATTTTGAGAACCCGACAATTTCGAATAGCCCAATGGGCCATGGGTTGACGGTAGGTGGTTATGACGAACCGCGAACGACTGTAAAAGAGGCATTACCAGAAGAATCAAACATGGATCAGCCTTCAATGTTTCGCACATGGACGTTGGAGAGGTCTTCGAAGTTCGAACCTGGATTCGGATAGCTGGGTCGAGGAGACCGGATCGAAGGAGCGATAGCTGCGAGTTGAGAGGGAGCCATGTTAGGAATGTGGCGAGTGGACCTATGTATGGTAAGTAAGAAGATGGCTAGGAGACCTATATATGATAGGAAGATGGCGAGGGGACCTGAATTTTGGAAGCGAAGTCTCTATGAATTGCACAAGTTGTAAGTATAATTGTGGGGTAGTGAAGTCATGGAGTGACGATGGTTTTGTGGGGTATCGCGTGTGGAATAAAAGACGAGCTTACACTGGTGACCAAGTTCCAATTCTTCCTAATATTTCAGGGATATATCAAAGGAGAGCGAACAGCGAAGTTTGAATATTAGACATACCAGGAATGCAAGTGCTAGGCGTCGAACTGCGGCGTTTGGAACGAACCTTATGCATATAACGAATGGTGAGGAAGAGCGTATAGCTGGTTGTATATGTACAACGTCAGGGGCAGAACACGACATAAGTGGAAGACGAAGGCGATATATAGCCTGTACCTGTTCGTTTTAGCTATAGCACCCGCTCCCCCTCTTTCGTCTCGTTCCTGGTCCATCCCCTACATATCACCATATCCGCCGACTACATACATAGCATACGCTTCTGGTCAATCATGCTGCGAGTGAGAGGGAGAGAGGCACTTGGCTCCACCTACCCTATCACGCGACATAGGTCTCTATTGCACGCTCGCTGTCGCACCAAACCTACTCGCCGTGATAAAGAGAGGCTTTACCTGATTAGAACCTTTACCTTTACCAGATTAGATGGAAATCTCTCATATCAGACATATCATGAACATCCGATATCGGAGATGGGGACTGTATTGAATGGCGTGCAGAAGGGATTAGAGTTCGGTGAGGGTCGTTTTGGGATTTGGATTTGGATTTTTCTCAAGCGAGGGAGTCGGACTGCGGGTGTCGGGTCCTACTCTTGTCATTTCAGAATCTTCATTCGTCAACGCTCCGTCTCACAGAGTTCGTGGTCAGTTCGCTTTTCGCAGATCGCAGAGAGAGTCCATCGTGACGCCGGCAGGTAGAGGAACAGGGTTACGGGTACAGACATACGGCCATACGTACAGACAGAGACCAAGCTAAAATCCGGGAGTAGTAGTTACAGCGGCTATGATACTTTCTCAATTCAGAAGCTCAGGCTTCAGAAGAAGCACGAGATTTCCAAAATGAAGCTTCTCTTCCGTTTTGGGGAAACCGTCCTAACCGACCATGTCGAGAGAGATACTATGGCTCACCAGTACATCGAATCCACCACTGAATCGAATTTTGATTACAAAATCGTAACCATTCATCAATTCGATCAATAATTTCGCCGATGGCACTACAAATTACTGATGCCCCCGCCTTCCTTCAAACCATCCTACCTCCAAATCCCATCCGTTTTCTTCAAAAAAAAGTGCACCATCTTCATTTAATAGTCATCTGGAATCGTTGTTCCAATTTTCAGGTCGATTGGGCCAGTGGAAGACGAGATTCAATTCAGTGGTGGATTCGATGTACTGGTGAGCCATAGTACACCGTTTTTAGAGGCATACATAGCCGCTTTCGGGGCGCACTACATACCATCCTGTCCAGATTCCAGCCTTGTGTCGTCTTCCCATTCCCTAGAGAGCATGCGCGTACGCTGACATTTCAAACTTCTCTTCCAGGTTTTTTGGCAGGGGCGCTTCTGAACGCCGGAAGAGGAGGGAGCTTTCTCGGGAGAGGAGCCTGATTCAGAGCGGTCGGCTTTTTTTTTTCTTATTGTTCTCTGGCATCGCCCTACTTTTGGCGTTCTCGTCCTACTTTTGGTCTTCCCATCCTACTTTTGGCCTTCCCGTTCTCGTCATCATGTACACATCTTCTCACAGGCGTTCCGAGTTCGACGTGCGTGGTGGCTGTCTGACTGCTGGTTTGTCATCGATGGTGGTCACGAACGCTGCGCAGCCTGAGGGGGGTTGGGGAAGAGCAGGGAGAGCAGGGAGCAGGGAGCGTTAGCAGGTTATACGTACCCTACCTTTCTATACTTGATGTACATTGGACGCTTATAGACGGCCTTGGAGCCCTCAATTCAAATCAGGTATTTTTTATGGGTACACTGTGGAGAAGTCGGTAACTTGAAGGTACGACGACAGAGCTCGACGTAAAAGGACATTTTGACCGTTGAGGATGTATTCATGTTCATGTGGGCTCGGTATGTGTGGGCTCATGGCTGATATCTTTTTGGATTCGTCGCTGGACGTAGTACTAGTATATACATGGATAGATAGTACAGCGCTCGGTGTCTAAGGGTATCGTGAAGAATGAGATGAGACGATGAGACGATGATGAGAGTGGGTGGCTCGAGAACCGGTACCGTTGTATAGACAGACCAATAGTTCAAAGCATCTCAAGAGCGAGTCATCAGCCAATTAGAGTAGTTCGAGTTCGTGATATCAAGTGCAAGTGTCATTGAATGCCCTCGAGCGAAGAACCTCGAAGTCTGCGTTTGTGAGATCTGTCGTACGTGCGGCGGGTCGCAACCCAACATAACATGAAAAGTATAAAAAAAAAAGTCTCAAAAAAAAGGGTTATAAAAAAGATGAATGTGAGAGGAAGGAAAAAAGCAAGAAGGGTATACGTTGAAAGGGGGGCGATGAGTGACTACAGGCGTAAGGTAAGCTTCAAGAGGAGGCAAGGCAGCCAGTCATCGAGACTGTCGGGGCGCTCACACCAAGGCGAGCCAGGGGACGTACAGCATCTTCGAGAATAAGAAAGAAGAAAAAGGGGTATCCAGCACGATCGGCGAAGGTCGTGTGTTTCTCGAAGAGCCTGTATCCCCAAGGGGTGGGTGGGTGAAGGAGGTGGGGGGTAAGAAAGGTAACCACGGGGATAATTTTACATACAACAGGCCCTTAAAGAATGAATAAACAAGAACAACAACAACGACGGGCGAGGTCGGGGGTTTGCAGAAGAAATGAGTGAATGAATGAAATGCGAGTGGTATGATGGGATGTATGGGTGTTGCGTGGTGAATGCGATGAATGGGTTGAATGAATGTGGTGGTGGTACAGAGTACAACAAGGGGGGGTAAGAATAAAGAGGGGTATCGTCGGGACGACGGCACCGAGGGGAACGAAAAGAAAAGAAAGGGTAAAGGGATATCAAAAAAGGGAGAAGATAATGCGTTTCTTCCTAACCGTACAAGTTTATTAGTCCTTCGTCGTCGTCGTGGTCGTCTTTCCATGTAGATGGATGAGCGGGGGGTCGTTCGTCGTAGCGAGTTCGTCATGAGATGCATGTGGTGTAAAGTATTGGAGCGCGCGATACGGGTTGTCGCGTCCGAAGTCGAAGCGAAGAAGAGAAAAAAGCCTAAAACACGTTCCAAGACGCACAGCATCTTTTTACGTGGACACCGTAGTACGGGGTTGCGTGGGGGTCGAAGTCGAAGTGTGTCGAAATGGGTGTGGATGATGTTATAGGGTGACACGACGTACGCAGCGAGCAACACACGAGCTCGAAGCTCTTACGCAGCAGCAGCGAACGCACTCCCAGCCATCAGATCATCGTATCCTCCCAGCAGCGGATTCGAATCGAACCCGCCCTCCAGCGCCTGCGCAAAGTCATGACCAAACTCGAGTCCAGTCCCACACAGACCGTCTGCACCGACGACACCGAACGACTTGCCCGACACGTTGGGTGCCGAGAAGGCCATCGCCTGGTCGCCGAGCAATGCTGAGGGGATGGAGTTGACGTCCCAGTTGTTGTCGAGCATCGCGGGGGCGGTGGGCCAGTCTGACCAGGTGAGATGCGACAAGTCGTTTTGTTGCTGCATCTCGGCTTGGAGATCGAGCTCGGCTTGTGTGGGGATGCCGTTGTTGAAGTCGAACAAGCCGAGGTCGGCGGTGTTGGCCATAGCGAGGAAGGCGTTGGGGTCGAGCGGGGCGGAGGAGGGTGTGAAAGGCCCTGTCGTTGGCGAGGAGGGACCGGACGAACCGGAGCTGATGGAAGATGCGGGGGAGATGATGTGGAGGGCTGGGGGCGCGGGAGGAGCGGAGTTGGAGGGAGAGTCGGAGGAGGATTGCTGCTGCATGCCCATAGCGAGCTGTTGCAGGGGTGATGGACCTGGCTTGCGGACTTGACCGGGCACGGTGAACATGTTTCGCATGAACTCGGCAGACTGGAAGAATGATCAGTGGACTGAAGACGTAAAAAGACATGCGACTCACCTGGAGACTTGCGTCGAGTGAATTCGACGACGGGAACGGAGGTGGGACGTAACTCTGCGTTGGGACAAAGTCGAAGTTGTTCATAGAGTCGATCGAACCGGATGATTGACGGGTGATCATGGGGATGAGGGACGGGGAGGTTGGGGCGGAGGGTGTGAGGTGGTAGACCTGAGGGATCTTGATGGCCTGGTAGGGCGGTGGCGTCGGTGCCGACGTCGAACGACCGTAATGACGAGGGGCAACAGGAACGACGAACGAAACACTTGCCTCACCATCCCTCCCCTCCTCCCTCCCCCGCTTCTTCGACGCCGACCGCTTATTCTTCGACCGTCCATCCTTGTCCTTCTGCCTCTGCGGCCGATACACATAATTCGGGTACATCAACTCGTGCTCCTTCTTCTTCTCCTTGGCCAGGTTCTCCCAGTACGCCTTCTCCTCCGCCGACAAGCTCTTCCACTGCTGGCTGATCGTCTTGGATAGATCCGCTTGCCGTTGCTTCTTCAGAGGTCCATCGGCGAGCTGCGCAGCCTCTTCCGCGGCTGCCTGGCGGTCTTCACAGCACTTGCGTCGGAAGAGGATGAAGGCGTTTTCCGGGCGCTTGATGTAATCTTCATCACCCTTCTTCGGTCTCCGCTCCGAAGTCTCACTGCTCGCGGATGATTTCCGGCGCTTCGTCGAGGGAGTGGGTGATGATGAACGGAGGGAGTCGGGCGTCAACGGTCGTGCGTAAGGTTGTTGCGGGAGGAAGGGAGGAGGCGTGGGTATTGAGACTGGTGCGAGCCCTCGGATCTGGACGTTGGAGGAGAAGGGGTTCGTGAAGGCAAAGGCATCTCGTTCAGGCTCGAAGGGAGAACTTGAGGGAGAGGAGGAAGGACTGTCGGAGGAGAGATTGTGCGTTACAGGGAAGGTGAATGCGCGGGGCGTCGGGGAAACGATAGCGAGAGAGGGCGGTGCTGGTGCGTCCGTGGTCACTTCAAGTGCTGTTAATCGATGAGTACCACCTTCCTCTCACTCGATAGAGTAATGACTTACATCGGGATTGGGTATCGCGAGTGCGGAGAGCAGGCATGACTTATTCGTGAACGAGAACAATGAAAGACAGAAAAGAAAAAACGACGACAATGGCGGCGAACTGTACAATGGCGGTGGGAAGAGTGGCGAAGGAGGGAAGAAGAGAGTGAGGGGAGAGAATAAAGGGTGGGTTTCCGCCAGAGGGCACTTGACAATCGTTTTCTTTAGTGTCTCGCGAGCTGGGATCAGGTGAAGAACAATTAGGGCACGAACGGGGCACAAAAAGACAAAAAACAATACGGATGGACAGCTTTATACGTTATCTTAATCTGGGCCATGGGCCCCATGCCAGAAAAGGTTCCGCCGAAGAACACGAGTTCAGAGGTCCAACCATCCCAGAACCCTGGGATTCCGTACCCTTGCATTATCCACCCTAAATCAGGTCAAATCCCGATATGGACTGCCGATCGAGGTTCGCCCGGTCCTGTATTTGCCGCTCTGTTTGGCGCTGCAATGGAGATGGGAAAGTCTTCCTCTCAGCTTATTGTCTTTGGTACGCCGACTCGGCCTGGTCTTTCCCTACCCAAGCTCGCCATCGTTGCCGCCCAGCTAGTCGTTCCAGCGAACTACGCAACGAAACACAGTCCCCCATTCCACAACCACAGCCATGATCACCCATCCTGTACGCGAAGGGCAGCACTGCAGAAGCGATCTGCACGCAAATTATACCTCCGCGCCCGCTCTCACAGCTATGTAATGATTCTGTCTGACGTTGTGTGGTTCCTCTCTTCCCAAATGGTTACACGTGTGGGCGCAACGAGTCAGCCTTCATCAAACCCCAACCCTAAAAGAGGAAGCATCGCCTTGGGGAAAAGATGGGATTCTTCCATCATTCGTTCATTTCAGGACTGAGACTCCGGATTGGGTGATGTGGGAGCCGTCCGCTCGTTCTGAACCTTCCCCCCTCATCCCCTTCCCCCTTCAATCAAGCTTTCAATCTTCTAATCTTACTGACTGACTTACTTACCTGGGGATTGCTGTTAGCTGTGAATCTGACTCTGTTCGTAGGAGCGCTTCCCAGACCCTGCACATGCGCATCTCAAAAAATTAGCTCGTACGATTCCGATTTCAAATCGAGCGCTTCTCGACGCTAGTAGCGCCTCCCGCGAATTCAAGAAGCGCTCAGACTCGAGCTTTTTTCGAATAAACTCATGCTTTTCGAATTGCCTTCCCCTCGTGTATGGACAAACACTCTTCCAAATACCGACTACACCATTATCCCCCTCCCATTATCCCTCAATGAGTACGCTACTCCTAGAAAGCTTGGGTATCATGCTCCGAGGCTTATCGATTGCGCTAGCGCCAACGATGCGAGCTCGATGGGGGATGGGTATCCTCGGGGGAGACGAGAAAATACTGGGATGGATATCTTGGGATCAGGCGAGCGCAAGACGTCACACTCACTTCATTCGGGTCTCCCAATATGGTCTTTTCCCCGACAACGGCGATCCAAGACTCAACTCGCCGGATTGATTACATACTTGCTCTTACTTACTTTCATACTGACAGATTTACTACTTGCTTACCCCCATCCAATCACATCGCCGCCTTCACAATGTCCAAGGAAGGAGGGGAAAGTATCAGCAGGTGTGATGTGAAGCGCCGAAGAGAAAGGAAGGAAAGGGCGCATGATGTAGAAATTAGAGTTTGACGCTAAGGTGCTTATCGAGTCCGACGGGGTTTGAGCAGTTGTAGGCGCCAATAGTACCCCTCCCCATCTCATCATCGAGGAACAGAATTGCTATTGAGTACGATGCTATCCCTTGTCTTATCTCGACTGTATGCACATCCTTCGTTCTCCATCGTCGGTCGTCGGCCCCAGCGACAAAGGCACCTGAATCTCGGGGGTCCCAATTCAAGTCGAGCATCGCGCGCGTACGCCGTACATATCCCGTATCGGACCCATACGCTATCAGAACCCCTCTTTGGAACCATGGAGAGTCGCAAGATGGAACGCGTCCAAACGCACGCACGTACGACCGACCGAACGACCGAGAATAGACTAGCGTACGGCCGGCGCCTGCGTTCATACGTGTTCTGCAAGCGCTAAGAGATGTGAAGCGCAGCCGCCTCCCGCCCCCCTCCTGATGATCAGCACAACCATCACCACCATCGCCCGTTCCTTTTCTTTTGAAGACAAAGCAGCGGGTGTGGGCCGTGCAAGGCGCTTCCAAGTTGTTCCTCCTGCAAGGCACCCGGTACGCTCGTCGGGACTCGGGTCTCTTTCATCGTTCGACTTTGGAGTCCGTGCTTTGTTCCTCGCCGTACTTTACCGGTTTTTCATTTAATTTTACATACCTACCCTCAATGTGATTTTAATTATTACGCATCTCGATGTTCGAGTAGTCTAGAAGTCCTCATTTCGCCTACCCACGAGTCGTAAGTCATCATTTGCTGTTCATCTCAAGTCCACCACATACGTCAACGATACAGCCTGAGGGTCAGGTGTGAGTAGAGAGTAAGTAGTGACTCTCTCTCAGCCGGCACGAACGCTCGAAGTCGAAAGAATACGCACATCGCACGCATTTCACCGACTCTGGTCCGGCCGTACACTTGCCATTTGCAGCCGGACCATCTCTGCGCTCTCTTCTCGGCTACACACGAGCCATTTTTTCTAAATTCTCACCACATCCAGGCGCCTCATACAAACCCTGCCAAGGTCGAGGCAATACATACTTATGTAGCTGGCCATGATGAACGTGCCGCCACCATGGACTCTTCCCTTGGACCTGAGCGTCTCTTGTGCGGCGGGTCGGTCTGTGTTCTCTTTCTGGAATCAAAGAATCGGCAGTTTTAGTTGGGTTGGGATTTTTGATGCTTTTGATGTTGTGATATGTGCCAAGAGAATGTGATCGAGATCTGGGCGCGGAGACAAATGGTCCTGGATGGAATTATGGGGAGGGCAGGTGGGTTGCGTCGAGGATACTGTACGGTAGGTGCGTATAGGGAGGAGTACATAATATTTAAAGTAGATAGGCAAGCTGTATGAACTATTGTAGACACATCCCCTCATTCTCATTTCATTATTGATAACACTGAGGATGAGAGTGGGCTGAGCTGAGGTGTACCAATACCGAATTCTTCAGCGCATACAAAATGAAGCTCGTTAACAACCAAAGAGGTCCACCTCCATCTCCATAGTTATAACGCGCCTACAGCGCCTCAGAAACGTGGATTATCAGCGTTGCTGTACATATCCCGAGTCGCGATCGACCGACTCGCGATTGTTGAATATTTAACGTGGCTGGAGGAGCTGAACGAGGATCACATACTGGGGCTTGGACCATCTTTTGGCCTTTTTCGTACTTATGGCCGTTGTATTGAGGACCCAAGAAGCGAGGTATGATGGGTACTAGCGGGACTACCTCTTCTTACGAGCGCCTACCATTTCTCAATCCCGACATCGCGATCACTGACCGACTCGCGATCGTTGACTGGGAGCTCTGCATTTGGGAGTTCGGTTTTCGGCTCCAGGACCATTGCGGTCTCTCTAGAGCTTGCGGGTATCACTCGTCGCAAGGGTGGGACGTTGTGGTCAGAGTGCTTTTAGAGACGGAGGAATATTTGGGATTAGAAAAAGGAATCGCGGGGTGTGAGAGCGGTTCCCAGTCCGTCTACTACGTCCCATGCATTCCGCAAAACTCTATTCTAAAATATCCGCCTTCTTGTATATACAACTCATGACCACGAAGGGTGGATAACAGCGCGAAACCTATGAGCACAATGACGACACTACGCAGGTATTCCATTCCACCCCAATCCTCCTGATTCTCACATCTCGGTTCCTTCCACCCCAAACGCCAGCCTAAATAATCGAGCTCGGGAGCGAACTGTGCACAGCGCCCTTCATTCCCTTACTCCCTCCTCAAATGAAACGTTCCTGACAAGACAACCCCAGCCCATTGAAACACAGGGGGTAGATAGGTACGCTCCTCCTCCGACTCGGGGTATCGATCAAGAGAGCGCGTTTGAATTGGTTGGACTATGTCGGGCCCCTGATATGCCGTGGAAGATGGGGTAGTCAGACATGAATGAAGGACGCCCCAAATCTGCGTAGTGAGAATTGGTGAGTGGCACCCCTTCCGGTTCGGATGTCTATTCGCTATTCAGCCTGAGAGACAGGTGAGGTCGACCAAGAGCGACGGGTGCGATTGGAGAATGCAGCGAGTACGCACGGACCAGGCTCTGGAGCTGAGACTCTCTATCGCGAATAGATGTGGCTCTCAGCCCTGCAATTAAGCTTTGGGACAGTCCGACAAATTGGGAACACATACGGTTGTTATGGAGTCTCAGCAGCCAACCTTCTAATGGGCGCTTACTGCTTTGATGACGTTGAGCTGTGATGCCGATCAATGGCAGATCTGAGTCGACGCACCATCCAACGACCCTACCCACCCAATTCACAATACAGCGGGCAAACCATACCGCGTCGAAATACATCGACCGCAACTCTAATTAAAGAACGCGGAGTTCCCAAAAGGCTGGACGCGTCTTTCCCGCGTCCTGATCGTCGCGTTCCCACATCACTTCGAGTCATTTCGAATACTAGGTGGTGACACTTGCCCAACCTGAGTACTGAGTCTTGAGCTGGTGATCGCAGTGTTCATGTCTTCTTCAGCGCTGGTATAGCCTTCTCACACGATAATTTATCAGAAGCGTTGGACTATGCACGTCGTTGATTTCATTATACTTGACTGAACTGAAAAGAGTAGACTCGGACTGTGTCGTAAAGACATCGCGATAGTGAAAACATCAAGATGATATGAGTATACGTAGAGATGTGCAAGCACCCGTGACATTGGGCGGGAGTCGAATGTACAATGGGAAATCAATAATACCCTTGGGAAGGAAAACGCGAACGTAAGGACTCGCGTGTATACCATAAATTGAAATCTAGTAACGAGAATGACTAGACTATGAAAGAAGATTAGTGCGGTGACTGCCAGTAGATTGGCACCTCAGATTCTACCCCCAATCCAAGGATTTCCGTCAGATTTTTCCGACCCAAGTGGATAAAGACTCATGCGCACTTGGTGGAGTCTGGTTCTCTCCGACAGCTCCAGCTTCCAGTTGAATTAGGATGACAGAACAATGTAAAGTTAAAGTCGAGTAACGACACGCCAGGCACGAGGATGGACTCGGAGTACATGTCGTGTCAGACCCACTTGTGCATCACTCACTCGACAGTTCGAGTCGACCCTTGCGCTGACTCTCTCTCTCTCTCTCGCCTTTTATTCCTTCCATATACACACCAACACCCGGGCGCCTAAAACTCCCATCCAAAAAGCCACCACAGGAATCTCAAACTCGAGGACGCCGGCGGGAGGAGTAGAACGCGCGAGGCGCACTTTTGATCGGTAGCTCAACGGAGAGGAGATAAGTACAGATACAGATCCTGCTACCAAACAGGGGCAACAATGGCGAATCAATTCGAAGCTTCTTTCCTTGCACAGACCAAGCTTCTTCCTCAAATGGGGGTTTGCCTCTGGCGCTCAAGGTTGAAAATTGACTCGGGTGGGCGAAGAAAGAAGGAAAGCGGTATGGATGTCAGAACGACGGCCTGGGTTACGATATGAAAGGTTCGAGCCCCAAGCAGACCCTCGAAGCCGTCGGGTCCGCCACCGGGAGAATACCGGTGGCCTCGACGCGGTTTTCGAGCTTTCTTCCCTTGGTCCTTAGTGGTATTATGATGTAGCACCCTTGATGTTGGATAGACTCTTGAGATTGAGAAAACGATGAACAACAATACTACTGCGCATTTGCATACCCTATAGTCCTCGGAGAAAGCGAAGTCAGCCATGTCGTGACTCGAGTCGGGAGTAGGGTTCGAGCTTCTTGATCTGACCTGCCATTCACTAGTGAAGCTTCGTTAGTGTGGCTATGGAAAATGGAACGAGTCAGACAAGCAAATTCAATACCCTATAGTGAGATTGGACATGCGCGGTGGTGGTACTTAATTTGAATGGCAGGCGGAGAACACGTCCTAGTGCTGAGTTTCCATTGCATAGAAGTTGCGTTGCGAATTAAGCGTTTCAAATTACTCGAAAAGGCAGAGACCTTGGCGCTAAAATTAACAGCTAAGCGCACAGATGTGAGGCAAAGTTTGTTTAGTTCCGTCCATAGGGATCTGGAGGAAGTATATCCGCACTTGCGCCCAGGGACACCTCACCTTTACTGTTCTCACGACCGACGACACCGAAAGACAGCTGTGAACCAAGATTAGCCCGAGGCATTGGGTTCCAGCGAGTATTTCGCCGAGGTGCATGTACGGCGTTCTTTCACATGGAATGGAACCTGCCTAGAGGTATCCCGGAGTGAGCCCAGTGTCATAGGATTCCATCTTCCATCATCTTGAAGGGAATCCGGAGGTCCACTCGAGTTCATCTCGATTGTCGTTAACCAAGACCGACAGTCACCCACCGACACCGTCAAGCGAGAAGGCCAGCAACGGTGAATAGGCTTTCCAGTGGACAGGCAAGCGAAACGACGACGTCATAGCCTACCGGAAGGGACATGACTCAACAGCACTTCGACCCCGCGATCAGCCTCGAGGCTCGCACCTGCCTGAACTGATGCTCAGCCCCTCGCGTAACATGATGGAATTCAACCCGTATCTCGTCGGTAATGATCAGAACCGGATTACCCGAGGGATATGGCGATGACGCAAGAGGTGCCAGGTGCCCATTGCCCAACGACCGGAGCGAAGGGTACCACGGAACCAAGGTCCGCGACAGGCACGTAAAGCGCCCAAGTCGTCTGCCCGGACGTGGATCCCAGAGTGGAAATTTCAAACGACTTTCCATAGCTGCAGTCATCCGAGGCAGGGCTCGAGAGCTGGACTTCCATTGGGCGAAGCACGTTAGAATTGCGATGTGACAAGTACCTGTCCGTTGACAAGAGTCAGGGTGGATGAGATGGAACAGCATGGCGTCATTCCCTCATCGAAGTCGAGGTCATTGAGGTACGGGTAGAGACGGCGGAGCTTGATGGCAGCAAAGTCACGGTCAACGTCGGGCCTCGTCGGGCTCTGTGGCTGGGTGTGAGGCGCGTAATTCAGGGCAGCGCTCGGCGGTGGTGATTTAGACTCTGTGATGGATAGTACCTTTGTCTCGGGTGACCATAATTAAGCCTGTTAAGGAGCTGGTAAGTACATAAGTCTTCAAGTTAAATCGATGAAACGAAACAACCAATCCGCCGACTTTACTTTATCGATGAAGGAGAATGTTGTTTCCCCAGGTCAGCAATCTAAAGTCTCCCGGCGTTCATCGCGGCAAAAGAAGGCGTGAGAAAAAGAGTTAGCCCACAGTGGTGTAGAGTAAACTTGCTACTACGCTAGCACTAGTACTTAGTAGTATTGTATTGAAACCGTGTCACGGTACCCGGTACCCTCACGTGACCAGGTATCGCCTCAAATCGACGGTCTTTTCGACGATTTAGGAAGTGGGAGGTCTTTTCATGAGAAGTGGTCCAAGCTCGAGCGGATTTGGCAGGCGGTTTGGCGCCGAGCGATGCCGGCGTCCATTTCGGGCAGCGAAGTGCCCGTTTTGGTCGTTTTTGATGCGGAGCTTGAATTCGAACATTTGAACTTCACATCTCTCCCTTGCTCTCGATGGCGTTCAGTGCGTCTGTACATGAATTTCACGATTTATTAAGACACAGATAGATTGTATCTATACTAGTAACTTAGCAATGGGCTCCCATCCCATGTGTAGGAACAATAATCAACCACCCAGGGTTCCATTGGCCAGAATTTCGGGTTGAACTGGGAAGAGACATACAATGGACGAGAAACCCAATGGATGGGGCACAGAAGACGTTGGAATAACGCATAATCAAGCTGTATTAGACTCTGAGAGAGAAGCAGATGGATTGGAGGAGGGTAAAGATGAATCGCACCTCTGGCTTTAGGTTGATAGGGGCTCGTTTACTAAATTAATCAGATCAGCCGTTTCTCGCTTCGGTGGTGTTCGGTGGGTATCAGATGCCAAGGGCTCCCATTATCCGGTATAATGCTACTGTGTACCGGTACCCCACCGAAAAAGCGAGGGTACCCGGGGGTACCCCCGCTAGTGGGCAGTATGCCTTATATCCTATGTATCAGGCAATTAGTCCATAATGTTGGACCAACGACCGACCACCGGTCCAGCATCTCTGGTGGCAGTGGATTGCATTGTAATGTTCGGCGTGGTCGACTGTGGCACCGATCACGTGACTGTGGCTACTGTCTTCCCGTTTCGCACTGTTGCAATGATCTTCCCATCAAAGACACCATGATGGGGTTCTAAAAGCCAAACCTCAACCAAACCCCCTTGACCTTTTACCAGTGACCACAACATCGATTGTTACTCCAGCAACCCGTGAACAACTCCTCTCTTCCATAGATGTCCAATGAAGCCCCCTTTAAAGATGTTTCCCTTCAAGTATGTACTGGATTCACCTACCTTCGCGTAGCCACTGACGAGATTTCAACAGCACCCCCCAGCACTCACCGCAAAAGCCTGATCCCAAGACAGCCTCTAATGCTACTCCGCGTCCTTCGAGACATATTGCGGCAGCAAAGGCTAACACTACAGGCATCCGTTACGATATTGCAGAGGCTATGAACTCGGAGACCTTCGTTTGTGACGTCGAGGCCTTCATGGCTCATTACCTTCCCAAGGTAGAGGACAGGGTGCTATCGCAGGTCCTTGGCGATTTGATTGAGAAGGAGGTTCTCATCCCTCGCAAGGAGACCAAAGCGCGACTACAACCGTCTGGAAAAGGAAAGTCCGCGAAAGCGGTGTCGCCCTCTATTCCGTCCATGTCCTATTCCCATGTGCTGAAGAACTTTAAACCTCCCTGTGGCGGGGGGAAGAAAGATGCCCGTGAGGAGAACATCTTTTCACCCTTGACCGAGATCTGTACGGCGATTTGTGAGGCCCTCAACTCGATCGATGGCGTCAAGTTAAATGGATACACGATTCGCATGTGTGGCCACAACGGCCTTGTCTCCTTGATTAAGGGGGGTGATCAGAGGATAGATGCTTGTATGACGAAGAACACGAAGGGCCGACTCCGCGTCACCGACATAGTTGTCGTGTTCGAATTCAAGACGGTACGAACTGAGCCGAAGGTCATGACTCATGCAGGTAATCATCTTTATGTATCACCTTAAGGGATCTTCTAACGCGACATCAATTTCAGAACCGCGTGCAGATCGTCTCACATTCCAACCACGCAATGAACGAAGACCCGCGACGCATGTTTACGCTTGGGGTAAGCTATTATTGCTCACAGTTCTTCAGAAAAGCCTGACTAGTTCTCTAGATCACTATCGAAGATGGCGGGTTCTCCCTGTGGTATTTCTCTCGCTCTCACTCGGCGAAGTCGTGGGCATTCAACATGGTCGAGGTAAAGCAATTTGGTATCTACATCCCACGATAACCGAGGCTGATGCCTTTTGTTAGCGAGCACATTTATTCATCAAGATCATGATTGCCCTGTTCTGCGCCACCGATGAAGAACTGGGCTTCAATCCTCTTGTTGAGCTGCTGGACGACGATATCAGCTTTGTGTACAAGTTTCCCTCGAGTGGAGACAATGAGGATGCAACATTTTTCCGAACCCAGGCCACTATCTTCCAGACTCGGTCCCCCACCCTGACTGGTCGTTCTACCCGCATTTTGAGGGTTCAACAAGTCGATCCCAGCAACGGTTACGCACAAATTGAAGGAACGAAGGACATGATTTTGAAGGATGTATCGCTGCATGTCGACGTGCGCACGGAGGACGACATTCAGAAACGCCTTTTTGCTGACGTCGAGAAGTTTCGAAGCAATCCAGAGAGGCCATGGAGGGATCAACCAATTGTAAAGGACTTTGGCGATAAAGAAAAGACATCGCTGGCTGAAATTCTCGAGGACGATCGATTCATGGACTTCTTCTCTTGCATCATTAAAGCGTACACAGGACAACCTAGTCTTCCCGTGGTTCCCAACGCGTCTGTGGATCCAAACCTATTCCCGACCTCGCTGAAGAACGATGAAGAAACTTATGTTCACCAGTTCGAGACAAACCGACCAGATCCTGGATGTGAGAGAACTAAAGAGGATGAAATCACCAAACCGAAGAATCCTCCCAGCCCCGATTTGTTCCCGCTGAAGAAGCAGTGCTTGTACATCTTTCCAGAGGTCTACACGCCTCTCTATAACATCCCAACCATGGGCCAGGCTATCCAAATCTTGAAACAATGTGTCTTGGGTACGTAGTGTGTCACACTTATTCTACTGTTGACGCTTGCTAACAAAAATGACTAGTGGGTTGCAGGCCATTAAATGGCAATTATCCGAGGCCTTTTGGCCTGCAGCCCTACAGCTTGTCCTTGTTTGAGAGACATCTCCGCGCGTGCGGAAATGCAGCCACATCAATCACATGCATCTGATCACGCACAAGTCACATGTTGAAATCAAGGTCGAAACCTTGGCATCCCAAATCCATCTCCCAACAGAACCCGAGACCAAAAGGCCTCGGAACTTTATCAGTTCTTCAATTGATGGCTTGCGCGGGATGGGTTCATCGCGATATCAGCGCCGGAAATATCTTGGCGATGTGGAATGAGACGACACGCAAGTGGCAGCTCAAACTCTCCGACCTTGAATACGCGAAGAAATTTCCCAGTGAGAAGGGCAGCAAGTCAAGTGCCGTCCCGAAAACGGTGAGTATCATCTTTCTCCCGATAGAAGATGTAGTATGTTAATGTGCCTCCTTATTAGGGGTCACCTTTCTTCATGGCGGTAGCAGTCCAGTCGCAGAGTCAAATTCGTCCTCCTCCTGATTTGGCCTATCATACCATTGATCGAGCCTTTGACAATCAAGCGACGATCGTACATACATACCAGCACGATTTCGAGTCAATTTGGTGGACGTTTATGTGGCTCGGTACTGCCCGAGCAAAACCCGTAATGCCGTCCTTGCTCATGAGTCAGGTCTTCCCCTTGAAACCGGTCGATAATTTGGCCATAAGTCGTGCCAAATTCCAATCTTTTTAGGGGCTCCCTTGCCATAGATACGACCGTTTTCATGTCCCTTCCACTCCCACTAAAGCGCAGCTACTTCATCGCCCTGGAAGATCTTCGAAGTGCCCTTTATGATGCCTACTGCCAACGTAACAAGCAAGAGGACATCAGCTCGTACTCGACTGTAATCAGCAAGCCATTCCGAGCCTTTTTCGAGACACTCGACAAGTCACCAGACTTGTGGCAATCGGTAGAATTAATCATGGAGAAAGAAAAGAAAGCAGTTGGACCTCCAGCGAACAAGAGAAAGGCGAACGGGGATGTCAAGGGACGGAATAATGGAAAGAAAGTTCCTTGGGTGCCCAATCCCAAAGGAACGACCGCGTGGGGAAAGGTGGCATTGAGGAACATGGGTGTTGGAATGCTGAGGGCCCCAGGACCAAAGACGAGATCGATGACCAGGGCCACAAATACGCAGAGTCACGCAGATGGGACTAGGCCTTTAAAGAGGACTCGGCACTAAGACCTTTCAATGCTCCCATACATGTGTTATCCCTGGGTGAATGACCCTGTTGTAAAGGATACAAATTGCTATCGGCTGTTGGATTATGATACTGTATAGTGTGGGTTACTTCTGTAGTCACCTTTGATAAAGCTATATAACCAATATTTCCACACCACTCCCTATGCTTAAACCTTGAATGAATACATCCAGACAAGCCCAGCCTCACTTCGCTTCGGCGTATCCTAGCTAAGGATTGACAATAAAGTAACTTGGGTCCCTAACTTGGGTTGATTACTATTAAACACGTAAGACGATGTACCACTGCAAGTGGGGAAGAGTTCGATAATATTAGTACAGATATAAATAAGTACAATGAGGACATACCTGCAAGTGGGGAAGAGTTCGATGGGGGAACTCCCACTTGCAGTCACTACCTATATACGTCTGGGGACAAAGGGATGTCTATATACGGTAGAACAATAAGATGTCCGAATTGGGAACAAGGGATACAAGAGAACAATAGAACTACTTAATATATCCGAGATCAGAGAACAATAGAATGTCCGTATAAGGATACATGAAACGTTCGTACATAATTGGGCATCCTTGTACCCGTAAATGGAATAGATGTGACATGTGCATTGTATTTCCAACACACCCCCTCAATGTAATGTCACTAGATAATTACACAAGTCCCAGTGCGATTCGATGACGTTCAACATCTTCTCGATGGAGTGGTTTTGTTAGAATGTCGGCGACCATGTCTTTCGTTGGGCAGAAATGGATCTCGATCTCCCTGCGCTTGATCTCTTGTCTGATCCAGTGCATCTTGATGTCGATGTGCTTCATTTTGCTGTGATGCTCTGGGTTTCGAAGGACTTTAATTGCTGACTGGTTGTCTACCATCATCGGTGAAGGTTTATCGAGTGAGAACCCAATTTCCCTCAGCAAGTTCCGTAGCCATATAATTTCTCGTCCTGCTGATGATGCAGAGACATATTCCGCTTCAGTTGAAGAGTTGGCCACAGTTGCTTGCTTCTTGGCAGACCAGCTGATGGCTCCTGTTCCCATCTTGATGACGAATCCACTTGTTGATCGTCTCGTGTCGAGGCATCCTGCATAATCGGCATCACTGAATGTGTGGAAGAGTTCAGAGGCAAGTTGGGGGTTGTTGTCCATGCGATATGTGAGTTTGAGATCCATGGTGCCCTTGAGGTAGCGGAAGACGTGTTTGACGGCTGTCCAATGTGTCATTCCGGGGTTTGAATTGAATTGTGCTAGCTTTGCCACAGCGAAAGCAATGTCAGGTCGAGTGCCGATTGCGAGATACATGAGTGCTCCCACAGCGTTCATGTAAGGAATGTTCCGCATCTCTTCTCGTTCCTCTTCTGTCTTGGGACACTGATCTTTGCTTAGGCGGACGCTTGGGTTCATCGGCGTTTTGACCGTGTTAGCCGCATCGAGGCGGAAACGGACGAGCATGTCCTGGATGTACTGCTTCTGTGATAGTTGCAGTGTCCGTTTCTCTCGATCGTAATCAACCTTAATTCCCAGAAGGTAGGATGTTGGTCCAAGGTCTTTCAGTTTGAACACCTTTGCCAAGGCGTCCTTGACCCATTGTATCTTCTTCTGGTCTTTCGAGATGATTGTGATGTCGTCGACGAAGACGGGCAGGGTGACTCGGATGCCGTCTAATTCCCAAATGTAGACACTGGGATCGGACTTCAGTTGCTTGAATCCGAGTCGTTCGAGTTCCTCTGCCAGTTTCTCGTACCAGAGTCGACCACTCTGCTTCAGCCCATACAGTCCCTTCTTGAGGCGGCAAACCCATCGTCCCCCATTTTGGTTGGGGACTTCGAATCCCTCTGGCTGGACCATGTATACTTCGTATTCATCTTCAATTTCTCCATTGAGGTATGCATTGGAGATATCGATGGATTCGATGAATTCACCGTTCATGGCAGCTTGTGCGAGGATTGCTCTGATGGTGGCAAGGCGGGAGGTTGGAGCGAAGACTTGGTCATAGTCGATTCCTGGTGCTTGGGCAAATCCTTTAGCGACGAGGCGTGCTTTGTACCGGTCAATAGTGCCATCAGACTTTCGCTTGATCAGGAAGACCCAGCGTGATCCAATTGCTTTGCGTCCTTGTGGGAGTTGGACGAGTTCCCAGGTGCCGTTGGCAATGAGGGCATCAATTTCCGCTCGAGCAGCACTGATCCACTTGTCTCTGTCTGGTCGGGCCATTGCTTCCTTCCAGTTGCGTGGCGAGTCCTCTGGTCGTGTGGCCGCTCCAAGTGCTTTTTCCTTCACCTTGTCGAGAACCATTTCGAGTGCCATTTCACATGCTTCAGCCATCGTGAGGTACTCTCCACTCATCCCGTAGACGTGCAGGATGGAGTCGAGGACTGGTGTTGCTTTGAAAGCTGAGTGGAAGTCGGGTTCGTCCTCCTCATTAATGTCGTCGGCTGTGATAGGTGGTAGATTATCCTCTCTTGCACCCCCTTGATCTACTACCTGATCACCCCCTTGGTCCTGGTTCGGTGGATGACCATTTTCCTCTGCTGTTCGTCTTGGGGCAGGCGCAGTGCCCCTGCGTGAGTGTCCAGCTAAGGTGTAGTAATCCGTGACTCTTGCCGTGGAACGTATCGGACGAGGGTTTTGGGATGGCTGTGGAGGTGGTTTTGGCTTGGTTGCTCTTCCCTGTCCAAAGTTCGGTGCAGGGAGTGGAGCGGGATTCTCTACCAGTGGTTCTGGTGACGATGGTGGGACAGGTGGTTGCGATCGGCCTTGTGGTGTGGGTGAGGCTTCCTCTTCTCGATGATAAGGTGCGTGGCGTGCGACTGGAGGTTTTGCCGTTGGGGTAGAAGGGGTCACTAATTCCTCTTTCACTTGTGGAGTGTCTGTTCCAGAGTGTTCTTTCTTGACCCGAGGTTTCGGCGTGTATGGAGGAGTGTCGTCATCATCGGAATCAGAGTCTGACTCGTGCGTGGTTGTGCTCGGAGCGTCCCCCGTACTCCTAAAGCCTGCTGGGGGAGCTGGAGGATCAGGTGGTGCTCCCGGACCATGCGGTGCTGTATCCCATTCATCGTCATCATCATATGGCCAGATGTCTCGGATGCCGACTGGTTTGACCGTGACTGTGGTTGACTTTGTGGATAGGCCAGGAAAAAGGGTCTCATCGAAGACGATATCTCGAGAGATGATGAATTTCTTTGATTGTGGGTCAAAGCATTTCCATCCTTTGTATCCTGGTTCAAAACCGACAAAAATGCAACGGGTCGTATGGGAGTCGAGGTTCCGTCTATCCTTTCGCTGGATGTTGATATATGCTCTACATCCGAATGTTCTGATCATGGACAAGTCCGGTTTCCGACCTTCCCATACTTCGTAGGAAGTCGTGTTGGAGACCGATGCCGATGGAGTCATATTGAGGATGTCGACGTAGTAGAGAAGGGCGAGTGACCAGAATGATGATGGGAGATTTGCCTGGCAAAGCATGGCTACCACTCCTTCAGCTGCGGTTCGGTTGAATCGTTCACTGACACCGTTCTGTTGTGGTGTGCCTTTTACGGTGTGTTGGCGAGTGATTCCAAGTTTTTCGCACCACGCATTGAATTCCTTTCCAATGTATTCACCCCCTTTGTCGTCTCGGAGTTCCTTGACCTTTCGTCCGTGTTTCCTCTCAACTTCGGCCACAAATATCTTGAACTTCTCGAAGGCTTCGTCTTTGCTCTTCAAGAGGTACACTTGTTTATAACGTGAGTAGTCATCAATGAATGTAATCCAGTACTTGTGTCCGGCAGTTGTGCGGGTGAGAGGGCCATGGAGGTCACTGTGGATGCGTCCGAGTAGTTCAGGGGAACGGTTATTGGAGTGAGTTGGGAAGGGATCCCGATGTTGTTTCCCGTCCTGACAGTGCTCGCACACGTTATGGACTTCGGTGTTTGGTTTGACGAGAATGCCTGTAGCCAGCTCCTTGTTGATGAGGGTGTCAAGTCTCCCTTTGCCTATGTGTCCAAGTCGACAGTGCAGGGTGTGCTTATCGACTCGTGCGATGTATGCCTGCTCGTTATATGCCAGAGTTGTGCCATTTAATGTGCCAATAGTGCCCTTGATGCTCGCTGTGAATAAGACCTTGTTGTCTCTTGAAAACTCGAGACTGTTTCCCTCAATAACCACTCGCATTCGACTCTTTGTAACATACGGTGAGGATAGAAAAGAGGTTATTTTGCAATGCTGGTACATAAAGGACATTCTGGAATATAACGGACTCGGCGGGTTTGCCATCTACAACCGGGGAGAATACAACACTTCCCTTCCCGACTGCCCACACTACGTGTTTGTTGGCGAGCTCGACGGGAATTCTGCATGGGACCATATTTCGGATCCACCTGCGGTGTGGTGTCATATGAGAGGTAGCTCCTGAGTCTGTGTTCCAAGATTCGTCAGCATTGGTGTTAAGCGAGCGGATACGAGGGGGACTTGCGAGGTGTGCGACTTGGGCCATCTGGGCCTTGACGATAGCGGGAGGTGTTTTGTCATCCTCTTCAGCGATTTGAGCCTTTCTGCTGCTGAGCCCTGCAGTCCTTGTCGTTATGGGGACTTGTTGGGGGCCATGGACCGAGCAGTTGACACTTGGCTCTTCGGTTTCTTGGCCGCCTTTTTAGAGGCCGCGAGGGGCAGATGCAGCTGAAGCTTCTGCAAGGGCAGTGTTCTTGTCGAGAGTGTCTGCTCGGCGAAGGTGCTCAAGAATGTCGCTGGCCGTAGTGCTCTTGAGGTGGGCGAGGGTGTGACGAAGAACCTTGTCCCTCTTCAGCTATAAGGCCAACGGTCATCATAGCGGCAGCAAAGTCGTTGACGAGGTCAACAGCACTGTATCCCTTGTCGAAGGTGGAACCGGTGACCACAGTCTCCGCTGTCACTGGTGTTGCGCCGGTCGCTTGTGACGTGAAGAAGGAGCCGGATGCTGTGGTTTCCTTGACGTAATTGGGACCAGAAGGGAGGCGATTGATGAGCTGTTGTCCAGCAGCGACGCATCGTGCACCATAATCCGCGTACGTCTCGTCTTCCTGCTTTCGGAGTGTCATGAAGTTCTTGGATCGCGGAAGTCCTTGATCCAGAGTCCTTGGGCTCGTATGCAGTAAGGAGAGTGGTCCAAATTGTTGGTACGTCTAGGATGTCGACATCACCAAGGAGGGTCTCCGTCTGCGCATGGTCGAGTGTGGAGCGGAGGTAACCGGCCATCTTGGAACGACGCTCCTGATAGTGCTGGCGAGCCTTCATCTGCCCGCTGCCAGTTGGCGCCGTTTCTTCGCCCGTGAAGGATATCATAGGCGGCGAACTCGAGAGCTTTGTTGATGCAGACCCGCTTCCATTGTGAAATGGTCGTGGCCGACAGTGGGTTGTCGGTGGTGACGGTGGTGGACGACATAACGGAGTGTGGAGGTAAGGGTATGCGTCAATTGGTTGACTTGGGAGCTCCCAAGTCAGCAACGACGAGGCACGAGGTGGCAAGTGGGCTTAACGAGTCCTGGGAGCTCCCAAGACTGGTTGTAGGCACAGGAAAGGGGAAGACACGAGGCAGGGTTGGTCTCAAGGTCAAGTGGCACACTTGGACGATGAGAGAGCAAAGGGGGAGCCGTAGGCGAGGTGATCGAACAGATCGTCGTGAGTTGTCAGGCGGCGCGAGCAGTAATACTGATAAATCAGTTATGCCCGGGGCTCATAACCTATTAAACACGTAAGACGATGTACCACTGCAAGTGGGGAAGAGTTCGATAATATTAGTACAGATATAAATAAGTACAATGAGGACATACCTGCAAGTGGGGAAGAGTTCGATGGGGGAACTCCCACTTGCAGTCACTACCTATATACGTCTGGGGACAAAGCGGATGTCTATATACGGTAGAACAATAAGATGTCCGAATTGGGAACAAGGGATACAAGAGAACAATAGAACTACTTAATATATCCGAGATCAGAGAACAATAGAATGTCCGTATAAGGATACATGAAACGTTCGTACATAATTGGGCATCCTTGTACCCGTAAATGGAATAGATGTGACATGTGCATTGTATTCCAACAATTACGGTGTCCCTGACTGAGAAATAGATAGGTCGTGGGTGCTGGCGGGGTCGAGTATGCACAGGGAGCCGCCGACTCCGAGTCGAGGAGAAGGCCATGACTCACGAAAACTGCTATCTGTTGCCTGCACGACTACTATTTTCACCGCGGAGTCAGGGATCACGTACGTGCTGTCGATGATGCTCTTACAAAGAAGCATGGCTGCTATAGAGGCGTTAGAGCTTTACGGTGATGATGCACTCATCCATATCCGTTATAGCGCGCTTCGCCGAATCGCCCGCTACTACCTAACTCCCAAAAGCCAGACCACTCTGAATCAGCAGATATCTCCTCATAAAAAAGCACCTTATTGTTGCTCTGAACTCGTTCATAATTTTCTTCGGTAGGCTTCACCCACCTCTGAGTCAGATCTGAATCTACTACTACTACTACTAATACTACTACTACTACTACTACTACTACTACTACTACTACTACTACTACTACTACTACTACTACTGTCGCCGTACTGTCGGTCTCAAATTGAACACTGTACTGCACCACCATTATATGTTCCATTCCTAGAGCTCATGCGCGCGCAAGGGGTGCGCGTAAGGACTGCCACCTTGTATCTTAGCCTTCGATGTTCTTAAGTTTAGTCTGAATTCATGCCTTCGGTGGGAGAATCATCAGCAAAATTGATGATAACGCTTTTTCTCAGCCCAAGCTTCAACCGGACTTATATGAAAAACATCCACTTTAATGTTATCCGCCACGGTGAAGATTCTAAGTTTAGATAACAGAGCTCTATACTACTACATGACTGGAATCACAGCGCTTAGCGACGTTTCTTCTGCCTTTCCTCTTCTTGAAGGCGACGGGTCATAGACCTCGTAATTCGACCCTCATTCCTAGCCATCGACCGTGTAATGGGTCCTGTCCTGCCAGAAACGATAGCAGGAGCTGGCGTCGAGTTCGGTCTCGCCCTCTTGCGCACTCTTCCTTCCCCACCCAGGTCCCCAGCTTCACGCTTATTGGACACCGGCTTGCCGTGTTGCTTGTTGGCACCCGAAGCGTGAGCTGTAGGCGGGCGGGGTTCCGAGTTGACAATAAGCTCAATGTCTTCCCATTCCGCCCTACTCGCCTTAACCTCATCAAAGAAACTATTCATTCCCTCACTCGCAATTAACGAGTACGAGGAGACGTCGGTCCATTTGGCCTCCCAGCTTCGTGTGCTGTATCCGATATACAGATGGCGTCGCAGTCGGTCCAGGCCTATGAGGAACGGAGAGCGTTGGAGTACCGGAGGGAGGGAGTGGTGGATGTCAATGTCGTAGGCAAGACCTTGCGTTAGCAGCGCACCGCGTCGGCTGGCATGCCCATAACCGACTTTATCCGTGAAATGTTTTGCCCCAAATCTCCATGGAAGCTTTTGGTTGATGCGCATGGTAATCAGCCAAATGAGGATCCACCAGATTGACTCCAAATCGTGTTGGTAGCAATGAACGACCGGGACAGGTTTGACAGGGTGGGACGCGTCACGCTCGTACTCCTGAAACATGGGGTAAACGTGCTTCCTTCCGGAGATTTCATAGGCGATGAAATAGGGCGTTCCCTAGGGGTCTCGAATGTCAGCTCCGAAACCAAATGAACGCGGAAGGAAATTCACAATGATGCTATCCGCCGCACCAGTCGATGCAGGATCAGGGAAACGTTTTGCATGCTCTAGATCGGAGAGCTTGACAGTCCAAGGCGAGCCCGGTGATTCACGATATGCCAGGATATTGCCGGGACTGATATCGCGATGCACCCAACCCGCACAGAACATCAAACGTAGTGCTAAACCAACAGTGTCAGTAAAATAAATCGGAGAAATTCGAGGGGTGAGAAACTTACGTATTAGGACCAGTCTGAGTATGTCGACAGCTTCCCCAAGAGAGGGAATGTCGTTGAGCGGTGTGCATACGTGTTCGTACACGAAGAGACAACGACGTCTGGGGAGACGTGGGGGTGGTGGCTCAATTATCTTCCAATAACTGCCAGCTGGGTCATCTTCCAACCCATTGAGTGGATCAGTTTCTCCAATGTGCTTCGCAACTATACAGGAGAACAATTGGCGGAAACTTCCGTTTTCCAACACCTCCGCAAGATCGTCAATGTCGCGTTGGCGAAAGTCCTGGATGTCGTGAACAGCAAGTACGAGCCCCTATTTTTCCTTATCTTATCTTATCGCTTTCATCGCTCTTATCACCTTCTCTTTATTCTCATTTTTGCCCTTATTCTCGACACGGACACTTTCTCCCATGGAACACTGCCTCGTTATGCCCTTCGCCCTACATCTTATTGTTCTCTCCATTCTTGCACTGCCTCGTCACTCCGTTATTGTTTTCTTCGTTCTTCGCGCAGCCTTGTGACTCTCCTTATTGTTCTTTTGTATCTCACCATCCGTTCGTCATCTTGACTTCATCGCGGCTATGTAGACTGTAGAATAGGTATATAAGCTAGGTAGATCCCTCTGTATTTCCTCAGCTTGACCTCTTCGTCAATATACCGCTTCAGCATTCATCTGCCTTAGTCGCTCATCGCTCTTACCTCGCTCTCCGCTCTCATCCGCTCCGCTCTTCTGGTCTTTGGTTTGGTTTAGTGTTTGCTCTTCGCGACATTAGGTCAAGCTACCTTTGTGCACCGGCAACGCCGATCGTTGCTCCTGCATCATCCGCATTTCTGGCTCCTGGTTGACCTGCCGATCAGGTCCCTCTCTGGCAACTCTGGTCCCCGCACTCCGTCAAGATTTCCGCCGCACCGGAAGACACCTCTTGCCTGTTTAAGCCACACTTCGTTATCCGAATTGGTGACGGGCCCGTCGTCGTCTTAGACGTTCACCTACCGAGCTTCAACAACTGGGTTGCCTGCTCCGAACAGCCCTGCCCCAACCGCTATCACGAACCATCCATACACGACTGGGTTTACATCAATTCCCTCAAGCTAAACGCCGAATCACCGTCCCCCGTTAATCAGCAAGCAGTTGAAGAATTCGCCCGCAACAACCCCAGGACTCCGCCCTCTGAAACACAACCCACCGCCACCGAATCTCCAGAAACCCCGTACCAAGCTTACCGTTCCGCAAACACCTCCCCCGCTGCCAAAGCCGGTTCATTCAAGCTCCCAGATCCCGACACCGACCCCAAAGAAGACGAAGAAGCACGACGACGAGGAAGAAGAAGAAGAAGTCGTCCAGTCCCTTAGCGTCCGATCAGCATCCCCCGAACAAGAAAACACCCTCCCACCGTTCAATACCCTCCACTCCGCTCTAGCCGCATCCGCACCCCTCATCTCCGCACAACGCCTCAGCTCTTCCGGCCGCTCTACACCGACAAACCCCGCCTCTTTCGTTTCTCGCCCGATCCATCCCCCTCTTCACACCTCTCGGCAGTTGGAGGATACATCTGACGCTCCAAGCTCAGAACAGAAACCTCCCACTTCCACCCAGCCAACTACTCTACCCTCTTCCACTTCCCAAACCACCAACAACTTCACGATGTCCGCCGCCGATCTCGCGAAACTCTCAGGAACAGCAAAACCAGCTCACCGCCGCCATTTCTACCCTGGTCAGCCACCTTACAGCCGCCAAAACCGCCTCTAGCAAGAGCCCGGTCAAGGCGCCTGAGCCCTTCCACGGCAAGGCTGAAGACGCCCGACGCTTCCTCCAGTTCTTTACCAATTGGGCCGGACACCAACCCCAGTTGAAGAAGGACGACGGCACTCGAGATGACAAGGAATGGATTTCCACGGCCCTCTCATACATGCATGGAGAAGCTGGTCGATGGGCATCTCGCTTCCTCCAACAGATCGCCGATCACGATGCCGATAAGACCAAGCCTTGGCCCTTCGCTGGGGGAAAGTGGGCTAACTTCCTCACTGAGTTCAAGCAACACTTCCAACCTGCCAACGACGCCCAGGCTGCCCTTCAGGAGCTTGAGCAGCTCACCCTCGGTCGAGGAACTGTAGCCGACTTTGCCTCTCGCTTCGTCGACATAATTTATCCGATTCGGACGGGATGGCTCGCTTCAAGAGGAAGCTCTCCCAGGAACACCTTCTCTGGCTCGCCCTCAGCAACCTCATCAAGGAACCCGCCAACCTGGAGGAACTCGTCGCTCAAGCCATCAAGAACGAGTTCGTCATGCGAAACATGAACCCCAACTCGTCCCGCACCTCCCTGGCCCAGTACGCTCCCGCTCCCACTCCCGCCCCCGCTCGTGATCCGTACGCAATGGAGATCGATGCTACCCGACCTGGCCCTAGTGGCAAGACCTACCAGGATTTCCTCAATGCCATGCGCGGTCGATGCTTCGGCTGTGGATCCACCGGTCACAACAAGAAGGATGGGAATCATGGGGCGTTACGCTGCAACTACTGCCAGCGTATGGGACATGCGGCCACCGTCTGCCAGGACAAATACATGGGATTCCCACCTGGACGAGGGCTCTCTCGACCTCCGCGTCGCCGTGTCGCCGCTACCCAGGAAGCACCCTTCTCCCTCTTTGATGAACCCGCCCCTGCTGCCACTGCCACCGTTGCCGCCACCACTCCTGCCACGCCTTCTGCCCCCGCCCCAAGCCTCGCCTCTCTCTCTGCCACTCAACAACAACAACTCGACATCCTGGCTAAACTCCAGAGGCTCCATCAGGGTTTTTGAAACGGGTGCCCGTCCCTGCCGCAACGCAGGCACCCTTTGCTCCTCCGTACGGCATTTCTGAATATGACTCCATCCGTTCATGTACTATTAGCTCGATTTCGCGAAATAAACCCCCGTTTCGTCACACTTTCGCGTGAACGTGAGGCTCAGAGGCAGAAATCGCAGTACCAACTCCGCGGCCATGATCGACTGTGGGGCGACAGGCAAGTTCCTGGATAGACCCTTTGTCGATCGACACAACATCACCACCTTCCCTCTCCGACATCCCATCCGACTCCTCAACATCGACGGTACCCCTAACCAGTCCGGCAATATCACACATTTCGCACGGCTAGAACTCACGGTGGATGGTCACTCTGAATGGACCGACTTCCTTATCGCCGATCTGGGAGGCGAGGACATCATCCTTGGGCTCCCCTGGCTTCGAAAGATCAACCCCACTATCGATTGGCGCAACGGCACCCTCCAGGTCCCCTCCAAAGTGGCCAGAGAAGTGCGAGTTCGAACGTCACGGAGATCGAATACCTTGGGCTGATCATCCGCGAGGGCGAAGTCAGCATGGACCCCGCCAAGGTCGAAGCCGTCCGCAACTGGCCAGTTCCCCGCAACCTCCGCGCTGTTCGAGGTTTCCTTGGATTCGCCAACTTCTACCGCCGTTTCATCAAGGATTTCGCCACCATCGCCCGACCGCTCAATGACTGTTACGAACTCCCCTATTTCTTCCTTTGTTTCCCTCTACGCACTCTACCTTTCCGAACCTTCCGGACTTCCGTTCTCTCCGTAGTTCCGTTACCTTCGCTTCTTCGATTCTCCCGCATCTCCGAACCTTTCGTAGACTTCTGTTTCTCTCGTATTCCGTACTCATCGATACTCCTTACTTGTCGCTTTCACACCTTCTTTCGCTCTCTTCCAAACCTCTTGATAGCTCGCCAACTCTACTATAAATACTGTCTCTCTGTAGTAGATATTCCTCAGCCTGTTATCGAGAACCTTTCCCTCAGAACTTCTATCGCTCTCAGCTCGATCCTCTCTGTCTGCGATAGCGACAGGCCTCTTGAACTTGATTCCAGAACCAGAACTTCGATCCAGAACTCCAGAACTCCAGAACTCCAGAACGACTGTTGGCAACGATAAGTCCTCGTTGCCCGAAGTCGTAACAGAATAACAGGCTCCTCCATCGCCGCCTTCCTCGAAAGTGCGGCCCCCTCTCTTCAACCACGGATTCAGACGACGATCTCCGAACTCCTTCGACCCCTCCCTACGGCTGCTACAACCAGCCACACGCATTCTACTCCGACAAGAAGTTCGACGTCCACCTAAACCCAGCCGGCAAGTGGATCCACTGCACTCGACAACCTTGCCCACATCGTCTATCCAATCGACCCGAAGAGATCCCCAGTTGGGGAGTCCCCTGTGACACCGTGGAACAAACCGAATTCGATCCCGACATCGTAGAAGAATCCCTCCAGAAAGCTCTCGAATCTCGAACTGAACGAAGAAACAAACAGAAAGAAGAAAGAAGACTTCAAAAGAAACATCAGAAAGCTACGAAGTCACCAAGGTCGAGGGGCCCTACCGAAATCGAACGAACCCTATCGGACCAACTGAAGAACCTGAACATCGACCAACCGATTCCATCGAAGAACCAAGAAGACCCTGAAACCGACTCTGATACCGATATGGCCGGAAACAATAACAGTAACACCACCAAGAACGACTCGAAGAGCGACAATGGCAAAGTTATCCCCAAGAGGTTTAACGGAAACCGCTACCACTACCAGGCATTCCGCGACGCCGTCGATCTCTTCTTCATCACAGACGACAAACACGATACCGATCAGAAGAAGATTGCCTTCGTCCTCGCCCTACTCGACGAAGGAGAAGCTCGCATTTGGCGAACCAACTACCTCAGACAATGCCGCAAGAACGGTAAACTCGACCTCGGAAATTTCGACGAACTGCTCAAGAAACTTGATGATACTTTTAAACAACCTGAAGAAGAAGATGAAGCCCTCTTTGCTCTTAACAACATGAAGCAACGACCCAATGAACGCGCGGAACAGACGATCACTCGATTCAGAGAACAAGCCTCCCTCGCTGGTCTCGATCTCACCAAGAACGACCGCATCGCCATCGACTACCTCAAAGACGTCCTAGACCCTGGTCTCGTCGACAAAGTCTCCCTTGACGTTAGAGAACCCGATACATTCGAAGAATGGGTTAAACTCGCCATCAAATACGACCGGGTCTATCGACGCAACAAACTTCTCAAATCGCTTGGCAAACGGGGAAATACACCCAACTTCCGCAAGACCCTCAGTGCCTTCGCCAGATCCACCAGAAACAACTCCGAACGCGATCCTGATGCCATGGACATTGATGCTATTTCCACCGATGAACGAACTCGAATGATGAAGACCGGCAGCTGTTTCTACTGCCGTGAACAAGGCCACATCGCCAAGGAATGCCCCAAGAAACGCAAAGATCGAAACTCATCTACCTCGAACGACACCAAGAAGAAGACCCCTCGAGAAGCCGCCAAATACATCCGAAGACTCCTCGCTCAATACTCCCCAGAAGAAGAAGCCGAAATCCTCGAAGCCGCTGGA